TTATCACTTGTATTCGTTTCTATGGTTTTGACTCAGTCTATTGATTGCAGTGTGTTGATATTGATATTATTTGAGTCAGAGTAGCCAGTTAAATGATCTGAGCAGGTCTTGTGCTTTTACTCGTTATATACTGTGAAGCTTTGAATCATTGGTTACGTTTTTTTATTGACTGACAAATATGATGTTTTTCGTAGACTTCTGAAACTTAGGGCTGTTTATATTCTAATATTGCAGTTTGTACTTTTTTTAATTTTGCTGTCATTCCTAATCTTTATACTAGAACTTCTACATTCCTGAGTAAACATAAGCTACTATTTGGTTGTTTTAGAAAATATATTTCTCATTTTAATATTTAATACAAATATTCTGAAACCATGAGTGTCATTTGAATAGGTTTTTTAATCTTAGTACAAATCAGATAGTAGATATTTTGACATTCTAAAAAATATTGATACTGAAATGTATTGAATTTCAGCTGTTATTACTAATTAGCTATACATTTATAGACAGCAAGAATGTTTCATCTGGGTTTATCCGTTGACTGTTCATGAAATCAGTGTTATAATGGGCACCATAATCGGCGGAATACTTGTAAACAGGATTTCCACTAACAACCTTTAATGTCTTTCTAACCTGAAAATTGTGATTACAATCTAAAGTAAAGGATCCCTAAAATAGTGTCATCTCGTTATCATCCCCTACTTTCTATTGGATCGCAACCTGAATTGGGAAATAAATGAGTTTTACTGCCAACTGAGTAATCTCAAGCAAGTAGGCTGTAAAAAAGCTTATGCTAGCTGCTGATTTGATTACTCATGTCTGGTGTCTGGACACAACAAAGTCCGCCAATGAGGACTTTTTGGTTTCAGATCAAGCATCATTTTCTGAGGCTTTAGGCGCGTTACTTGTTTCGCCGTTTTCTAGCCATTGCCTACTGTTGGTGTAGATAGATATGTACAGGACACTTTTCAAAGCATTAGGTCTGGTTCTGTTCACACCCCAGTGTACACTAAATTCTGCCTTTGGTTAGTGATCATATCCACTTTGTCAACTAAATTTATGTAAGCGAGCTGGGCGTATGTCGCTATTGGGACACTAACAAAGAAATGCGAGTCTTATCGGACTTCATAAAAGTAACTACTCATGTTTCATACAACTTCAAGCTCCACTCCATTTATAAATACTGGGTTACTTTAAACTTCTCGTAACCTCTTGATTTTTATCAATCTGTCTTGGTTGGCTGTAGGCACAACTGTTTCTTTTATGTCAGGTTTTTCATAAAGTGCCTTTAAACTCGGAGGTCAGGACACAATAATATGAAGCAGCAACTACATTCAACAACTCCTAGGTGTTTTTGTTTATTTAAACTACTAGTAATAATAAACAGTGTTATTAAAAAATATGATATACCTCAAGTATTCCATCACACCAAAGAATCTGTTGTTGTACTTGTCTTCGGGAGCGACCTAATTGATATATACTACAATCATCGCTATGAAATGTTATTAATCCTAAAATATTATTTATCCTCATACTGAAAAGATCGTCTATGAAGCTTGAGAAACTGACTTGGAAAATGAGGCCTTGTGTTTTTGAAAAGTAGATTCACTGATCAAGTTTTTATTCGACCAAATGCTTGGACATCATGTTTTTGTGAAAGAATCACCGTTTTTGAAATTAGGTCTAATATTGATTTTCAGACAAGGTTGTTCCGTGGAATGGTTTGTTAAGGAAGAGTGTTGATCCGTTAATATTTTGTAATAAAATTTTTTATTTTACTATTGTTTGAACACATGAACATTGGCATAAGGATTTTATTTATTTATTGTAACACATAGATATTGGTACAATGAGGCACCAAATACATATGCGCCACACAAATCTCATTTGATATGTATGAGGGCTGTGGCACTGCTCGGATGCCCAAACCGAAGCAGGTGGTTTTCTTAGGGGCCCACATCCTAAGCCTTCGACCTAAATGTCTGATCCACAAGGCAGTCAAGCAACGTAAGGAGATGCAGTCCCATGGTAGCCGGTGACCAACAATTGGTTCATACGTCACTTTTTCCTTTAGGATCCTGGAGTCCATGTGCACCATCGGTTGAGAATCAAGGTTTCCCAACTCCCCTAGGTCAACCCTCTGTGTCCACCAACCCCGTTAAAACGCCGGAACCTCGCTTTTCGTCTTCTCAATTTCTTAAACAACACTCCTGCCACGAGGAAGCAGTGAGTAGGACTTCTCTGACAGTGGTTGTATGCAGGTGGCGATGTGAGAGAGAGTTGACTGTCCCTACTCTCGGCCTCTTTTTTGGGGGCATTTGTTTGAACACATAAATATTGGTACAAAAGGTAATCAAGTACATATACGCCACACAATAACAATGAGAATATGAAGAGATAGAGAATGTAATGTGCATATAAGGAAAAACTGGAACGATAACGAACATATCCATCAGAGCTGTTTCCCGAACGCCATCGATAGCAAAGTTGAAGAGGAATGATGAGATCGGTCAACCCTGTCTAACCTAACTGCCTGAATGGAACAATGGGATGAAGTGGTTGTATGCCCTCTTTCTACCTGATGTTTTTGCATATGGGGCTTTTTAGATGTTAATAAACTTTTCAGGTACACCCTTCTTCAACAGATAATCTTAGAGTACAGTCGTCCAAGAAATCGAAGGCGGCCCTGATGTCAAAAAACACGTTTGTTTCCTGAAATAAGTATGGCGGTAGTAAACTAATACGTCCTTGGCCAGAACTAAAACCATATTGATCCTCGTGGGTCAATGTTTCCAGGACGTTTAGCAACCTGTAATTTATAACGGAAGCTACAAGCGACCTTACGCGTCATTTCTATGGCTTCAACCAATTGCAACCAATGCTCATCTTTACTTTTCGGTGCGTTGACAGCTAACTTTGAACCTTGTTCGATTTGATATTTAGTTGCAACAGAAACTGTCATCAATTTCCTGGTATCAGTCCATTTACGGAGGATTTTTCGGCCACTGTAAAAAGTAAGATAAGATTATCACAAACAAGGGCATGATCATAGTCCGGATAAGTATCGCAAAAGAAACGGAATTATTGTACACAATTACGCCAGCAGTGGCTAATTGTAATGCGATTAATCTTAACTTAGGCATGATATGTAGAGAGAGGACGCCAGGTAGTACATCGTACATGATTGTGACGATAGTTTGTGCAAACAAGAAACAGGCTATAGTCTGCTCAAAGTCGTAGTAGTTAATTACCAGTATCTGACATGTGATCAACAAGTCTTCATTGGCCACTCTACTAGCTCTCCATTGTGCAACCCTGCTTAATCCTGCTGTTCAAACAAGACAATTGGAGAGAGGTGGTTGTACGCCCTTACTCTACCTGAAATGTTTGTATGTAGGGTTTTTAAGATGTTAATGAACTTCTCAGACACCCTTCAATAGAAAATTTCAGAGCACTGTCTTGTCTAACAAATAGAGGGAAGCCCTGATATCAAGAAGCACAACGATTGTTAGCCTACGAATAATCAGCTTGATTTTCACGAACCAATCTTTCCTGGGTTTTGAAGAAATTGAAAAGTATGACGGAAGCCAATAATTCAGACGCAATCGTAAGTAGATTTATCGCCTGATAGTTTTTGAATATGTGGCGTACGCATTTTGAAAGATAGGAACAACTAAGGACTCATTTCATGATGTTAGAACACTCTAATTGCCAGACGTTTATAAACAACTTGACGAGTTCCTTAACCAAAACGTCACCACCATTTTTAGGAAGGGACAAATGTAAATCGTTTGGACCTAGTGATTTGTGGCTCTTCAATAGTTGAAGTTCCTTGCAGACCTCTTCCTCGTTAGGTAGATCAGTCGTCACCTGCCATGGAAAATAGTCTTATTGATGTCTCTGAGGCAGCAGACTTGTTAAACTGCTACTCGAAAAACACTGGCCATAATCCAAGACGTTGATATGTTAGTGATTGGCGTCCCGTCATCTTCACAGATTATTTCGCTCACACCAGAATTCTTGTTGCCAGTGGCTTGGATGAGTTGAAAGAGCTTTCGGCGGTTACCAGATACAGCTGCTGCTTCCAACTCATTGACACGCTCCGACCACTAGCCTTCTCGGTTCTTACGTAAGGTGGAGAGCTGATTCTCTCCACCCGCGGCCGTACCTGGGCATTCAACAAACAGATGAGACTTTCAACTATAGAGTATTTATGGACTGTAAAAAAAAAGATTTTACGTAGCTTAGAAACATATGTAGAAACAAATTTACATATTTAATTGATTCACTTACCTATATCCATAGGATCATCGCATGGTACTGATTCTTCTACTGTAACTTCTAGGGGTTGTGTTCTAACCTGAAAAACATTTGAGTAATATTTCGCGTTTTGATATCAACATAGCAACCACAGTCAAGCAACAATTAAATTTAGAATTTTAGACTATCATCCTGATTATTTTTAACAAATCTAAAGAGTTTTAATCACATGAGATGGAATGAATAATATCTTACAAACTATCTGATAACATCCCAAACCACTGAGTTGTGTGATCTTTACAGCTTTAGAAGTCTTTAATTTGGTGATTCAGTCTGACTTAACAACTTGATGCTGTTCTTTTTATTCTTATTAGAGTTGTAACTTATCGAGTTGACACTCATTTTCTAAACAGTTGGTCGTGTGGTTGAAAAATCTCTACTGACGGGGTTTGAGTAACCTAATAGTATGAAAATTTAGAGAATGCTATGTACAATCTCGTAAACAGTAATATATATGTTTGTGTTAGATTTACTTTGTGCTCTTATCACTATATATGTGCCTACAAACTGTGTAGATCGTTGTTCTTAAAGTTCACAAAAATGATTAGTATACAAGACTAAATAACTTTATGTCAGTAAAATGACTTTGATAGCTATCAATTACAATATTTTTGAGTGTAATAAACCATTGTCAAATCAATGTTTTATCTTTGGCCTCGTTTCTTATTTTCAATTTCCAGATGTTCGTGCGCCGGAGTAAATTTAAACATGTCTTCGGGAAACCTTGCAAGAAGGAATGCTGTTATGAAGACATTCGAATAACGAAAAGTAGTTGGGATGCTCGTTTTTGTGCTGTAAACCCTAAATACCTTGCGATTATTACCGAAGCTGCGGGGGGTGGATCATTTCTTGTTTTACCTATTGAAAAGGTAATTTCCTTTACACTGATCATCATATGTAGATAAATTTATGTACATCTTGTTAATTGTTTGTTAAAGCATCATGTTAATACTCCTGCTTTCGCAACTAATTTTAAATACTTTGATCGAAAATATATTTTGATAAATTCTAAACGGTGTATACCTTGAAGTAAAAGTTTTATAGTTCAGATATTAATTTTAATTAGAAAATCGATCTCACCTGCCAAGGTTAAAAAATCATCGAAAATTTTTAGACATAGCAGACGTGGCTCATTGTCTGGTACAGTTTTTCTCAAATTTATGCGGATTATATGTGTTCCTAGTGATTTGGGCTGGTACTATCCTTGTGGCTCTTACTAAATTCAGATTAGTTTGTATAAAAGAAACCATGCTCATTTTATTCTGTTTCGTATTAGCCGTAATTTCCAACAGTTGCTGCTATCTTGAAGTGGTTGTCGGGCTTGCCTATCGTGATGAACTAGTCGGGATATACTGGCTGGAACAATCGTTCTTCAAGGTCCTACCATGCCAGACAGGTTGGTTGAAGAACGGTAAGACTAAAAGCAACAAACCCAAGGTTCGAGGGCGAAGTCGTACTGTTGACTGTACAGAGTTGTGACGGCAGTAAGGTATATTCCTAAAAAAACAGCATAACAGTAATGCTGCCTTCCCACAAAGGAAGGGTGGGATTAAAAATGATCGACACTGAGAACACACACCTCCCCTTATCCCACGGGTTTCCGTCCCTGGCGGTAAGGTCCCAACAAGTACGGAGCTAACACGAAACTTGATCAGTAAGATGGTGTGTGACTGACCTCAAGCAGTTGTCCTTTTGGCACTGTGGTCACACTCTCAGGTCACTATAACCAACTCTAACCCAATTTCCTTTTCAGGTACCTCTAGATAAATACTTCCACGGTGTGGGCAACTGGGAATTGATAACCACCCCCATTATTCTCACAACACCCGAGACCACTGTATTCATAATTAATTCACCTCTTGATTTCCTATTGCTTCTCCTACCTCGACTAAAAACTCTAAACTCCCCCCATCAAGTGTCACCACGGCCAACGATTCTAACGCGCGAAACACTGCTTCAGGTCTACTGAAACCTCGCTCCAAACCGCACGTTGGAGCCTTCAACGTACGTACCCTACGTCAAATCGGCCAGCAGGCCACCTTGGCTAAGACCCTAGAATTTCGTACCATTGATGTATGCTGTGTCTCTGAAACACGCATACAGGATCCTAATGTGGTCATTCCCTCGACTTCACCTAGCCAAAATGGGGAGCCGATAAGATACACCCTCCGTTTATCTGGCGACCCAACTAAAATAGCATTTAAAATACTAGCCTCAATAATTATCGGGTTCGTAACAGAGACTCGTGAACTTGCAAACACAAGAAAACCAGGCTGCCTTCAAACCTGGTTGTAGCTGCATCGACCACATATTCACCAATGGCGTAGGTGTAAACACTCTTTGTTTTCCCTTAAACCGTAAGGCAAAAATTACTTAATACCTTTTTTGTATGAACTAATTCTTTCTCCCTATATCATGTCATTATGTGCAATATTTTTTATATATTATACGCACTTTACATTCTCTATCTCTTCACATTCTCATTATTATTATGTGGCGCATATGTATTTGGTTCCCCTTTGTACCAATATTTATGTGTTTAAATAAGTAAATCGAAGTAACTCCCTCTAGGAATTTGGTGATCATCTTGTTGTGTTAATGAGGTATGGCAACTTCGACTGATGCATATATATGCCTGATTCTACGTTGTAGCTGACTGACTGAATAGCCGTTATTGTTTAGGTGTGAAAATCGTCTGTTTAAGTGAAACATGATGATTGCTCAAACTGAATATTTATCCTGAATTACCAAAGAATGGTTGTCTTTTCGTTGACAGTTGTCAGGCTTTCTGTAGAAATCTCGATTTCTAACATGTAATCACTAGTTTTCGGGGTTTCACTTGATCAGTTCCTAAAACCTAGGACAAAACTCAATTTGTAACTACTGGACTTACAATTTTTATTTAAACATTAAAAAACGAAATTCAATCACTGGATTTTCAAATTTTTAGTAAAACAAGCGTGTTGGAATCATCACTACTGCTTCACTTTAACGAAGAAAATTCTTCGTAATATTGTGTAAATTCACAGTGTTTGTTGCTTGTTTGAATACTTCAAACATTTATTTACACTAGCTGGACCTTTATAAATATTATCGTTCAGACATCTATGTTTAAGGACTCTTCAGAAGTAAAAACTGTTGTCTTGTAAGCCTTGTTCTTCCGTGGTTATCAACTTGAAATCAGTTTAATCAAACTATTAAAGAGTATGTGGAGTTTTTTACTACTTATTTTAAGGAATGTAGGAAGAAATTTTTTAGGAGTCAGGTTTTAACTCCTGTTACTCGTCACTCTATTTGCTATAGCTGTTACAACTGTTGATGGGATATTTATAGTTTTGAATGCCATAAGTTGTCATTGTTTGTTGGCTATTACTAATAACATTCGACGGACTTTTAAAGCCCAAGAATCCTATTCAACAACTCTGTCTCTGTTGGATTGTAATTGACTTTTGTCTACTGTATTATTCATAATCAACTTTATGTTCTATTTTATGAAATATAACGCGTTTAATTGAAGAGTTAAAATATATTACTTGAAGTAGAAGAATTAACACACATACATGAGGTTTGCTCAAGCGACATAGCAAATATTTTCATTACTTGACGTTTTTTGCTCAACAGTTCCCACAATCATTGTAAAATCATATCATACAAAACTGAATGCCTTTCGTCTTATAAATTTATTAAATTGATTGATACCTATTCTAGCCAGTGTTTAGAACAAATTAAATTATTCTGATTTTATCACTGAAAATAAAATACTTTAATACAGTTTTGGATTTTATGTAGAAGCTCAACATTCTGATTGCCAACTTTTCAAACAAATACTCAATATCAGGCGGCATTTAGTGTTCCTGATAATCTGATTAAATTGATATCGTTGTGTACTTTTATGTTTAATACAGTTGGATACCATCATGTTTACTTTAGTACATTTTCTTCTAAATCGACAAGTGGGCCTCCTGGTAGGAGATCAATTCCTGAAAATTCAGTCCATAACCGCAAGCATGTTCGGGATGCGCTTCACTCCCTCGAAATGCAAAATGTTGCTTCAGGATTGGGTTGCATCGACACCTGAACTAATGATAGGGAGTGAAGTAGTTGAGCGTGTCGACCGTTTCATTTATCTTGGAGTCTCATCCGCCCTTGTGGTCTGGTGTAAGACGAAATCTCAGCACGGATACAGAAGGCTCGACTAGCTTTTGCCAACTTGCGTCATTTATGGCGTAGGCGAGATATCCTTCTATCAACCAAAGGACGTGTTTACTGTGCAGCAGTTCCGTCCTACTTTATGGCAGTGAAACGTGGCAGGTAAGAGTAGAGGATATTCGTAGGTTACTAGTATTTGATCATAAGTGTCTTCGAAACATTGCTCGTATATCCTGGGACCATCGAGTAAGTAATGCAGTTGTTAGGAAACGGGTGCTATATAAGGATGGCAAATCAATTGATGAAGTAGTGAAACTTCATCAGTTGAGATAGCTGGGACACGTGATACGTATGCCCGACCACCGACTACCTCGACGTGTGATGTTTTACGTGTAGGAGTAGGTTGGAAGAAGGCCAGGGGCGGCCAGATCAAAACATGGTACAAATTCATGAAGTCACTGACATATGGACTCAGCCATGTTGGTAGGTGTAGACTACCTGGTTAGGATCCGCGAGATGATAGCAACCGATGGTTAGAAACCCTGAATGACAAGGCTCAAAATCCTTTGCAATGGCGCAGGTGGGATCCATTCTTTGTGTTCTCCCAAATTCTAATCTTCTGAATTCTTTGTCTCCTTTTTCTCTTTCAGAGTTTATTTCACTAGCTTATACTCTTTGAATAACATCTTCAAACCCTAATCTTTCCGATTACTGCTTATACTTTTACTACCTCTATCACTATGGGATTTGAATCGACAATTGTATCTGTTTGTTATTGTGGTATGTCAACTCGAACTGATGTACGTACTTACGAAGTTCTACGTTGTTACTGAATGAAAATGAATGAAATGAGTCGATAATTGCGTTATTTTCATCAGTAGGTGTATGATGAACTTAAACAATAGTGGATACAGTGGACAGCCTTGACGGACAGCACTTGAGTTTCCAAAATCAGATGACAGTTCGCCATTAGCTCTGACTCGACTTGTAATGTTCGAGTAAAGAGCCCTCACGAGGTTTATGTACTTCTGAGTTACGTTATTCAATGATAGACACTGCCACAAAACCTCACGGTCTACAGAGTCAAATGCTGCTTTCAAGTATGGAAAGACCACCATTGTCGGAAGCCGACAAGCATGCCTGTGTTTTAAAACCTGACGAATTGTGAATATGTGGTCAATCCAGCCACGATCAGATCGGAAGTGTTGGGATATTCAGGAAAATATCCCAGAAATTATCCATTTTAAGTCTAATGATATTTTTGGACTTGAACATGGTATGATTTTCTTATTCGTCAGTACTTATTTCACGTGTTATTTTCCTACTGGTCAATATTGTACAATGTTATTTTCTATTTTATGGTACGTTGTGGTTTGCTTGACTGGTATATAAACAAAGTATGTTTGAAATATAATGATTCATATATCCGAGGCTGAGACTTGCGTTCTGGACTCAATTGCTGGGCTAGACAGGGAAGCGGGGCCAATCAGAACCCTAGGTCGTTCCACGTGTTTGCGCGTCTTTGGTCCGATCGATAATTCTCTACCCTCTAATCTGCTGCCGTCACGGTTGTAGTAGGAAGGCAGCGCAATATTCTCGTGTTTGCAGTTCACGAGTCTTTGTTACGCGCCCGATAATTATTGAGGCTAGTATTTTTAATGCTATATAAGTCAAACTAATCCCTCTATGGTTATCACAGGATGAATTTGACCCCTTCTTATTTATTGGAGCAATCAGTTATTGTGACCAGTCAGGTAGTATTACGTCCAACTCCCAAAATCTAGATAAAATATCAGCCAGCCTAGTCGCTGAAACCGGACCACTATCCTCAAAGACTTCTGGATTCAATCCATTCGAACCAGCTGCTCTTCTTCGTTTCAGATTAGCTATATTTTTTGGGTCTGATTGATGTTGATTTATGTAAATATTCACTTGTACAGGTTGGCCGTGTAGAACGTGATGCTCCTCTCGTTGCTGGACATACGGGAAGTGTATTAGATATACAATGGTGCCCACACAATGATGATCTTATTGCCAGTGGTTCAGAGGACTGTACTGTGAAAGTTTGGCAAATCCCAGAAGGTGGACTGTTACCCAAAACAAATCTGACTACACCCGTAGCAGATTTGGTATGTCACCAGCGCCGCGTTGGTTTGGTTGTCTGGCACCCAACAGCTGAACATGTATTATTATCTGCAGGTAAGTTTTTCAGTACTATGCTTGAGAATTGTTAATACTAGAAGTTATTTTGTATAGTCATTACATCCCTAAGATCAGAAAATTCTTTTTCAAAGTTCTAAAAATAACACCGTATCAAGCAAGCACTTATTTGGAAAAAAAACGTGTTGATCATGTTATCTTTGTCCACAAAATGCTTGAACTACTTAATGGAACCTTTCAAGGTCAATAAATGACGCTCTATGTTTAGTAAAGTAGTAGTGATCAGTGGACAGAATAATCGTCTGTGATAGTATTCATGAATTTTAAACTCACATGTAATGAGATCTAGCACTTGTTTGCAGATTTATTTATAAGAATCTCTGAACGTAGTATCAGTAGAAGGATTAAACTCGTTTGTGTGTAACTAGTTATTTAGTTTTTATCTATCATTGGAGTATTGTACATTAAAATGTAGTTCAAATTACTAATCAACTTGAGTGATGAAAATAATAGTGACAATAGTTAAGTATCAGAGTGACCTCAACATCTATACGACCTCTTTATCATAACTTATCAAATCCCAAATACCGCCTAAATTCTTGTTTTCTAAATAAGATATAAAGGATTATGTCCCGAAGTTTATTGACATTAACTTGAAACACATGCCTTATTATTATTATTATTATTATTATTGAACTTTCATTTGATTTGTAATTTTTTATACCGTGAACTAATAAAATGTGAGTAATAATTTCCCTTCTTTTCTCGCTGGTTAGCTCTGATCACTTTCTACTTTTAATTAATCTATGTATTCCTAGGTGGTTTCTAAAATTGAACCGGCAAAATACTTTGTAATAATAAGATTTGTTTAAATGAGGGTAGCTCTCTCAAATACTAGCATTCTCTTCATACTCAATGCGTATCTTATTATCAGAATGGGTTTTGTGGAGATTTTAGAAATTTCACAGATTGAAATCATGAGTCAGTTGAAGCTAGACCATATCTTATTGTTTCTGTCATAGTATTAATAGTGCTGATTCGTCTGTTGTGTAATATTTTTATTACATCTCTTTGATTTATCTGCTATCACTTGTTCATTTCATTTTAATTCAGAATACGACGTAGTGTCTACAATTTTGCAATAATATTACTACACCTCGTACATACTAAAAACAGTCGGTCAGTGAGAACTCACCTACAACTGTACACAAATGTCCATTAGTCTAAGTTTCCATACCACATTGCAACAAGACAAAATTATCATGATGAATATCAAATTAGTAATATCAGTGCTAGTAAAAAATATTGAATGAACAACTTGGTTGAGCGTGTATTTACTAATAGATATTTAGATGTTTATCTAAGTTGATTTATCAGGTCGTTCAATAAATTTGTGGTTTTTATTTTGGTAATATAAATAATTTTTACTGTAAGTAATAAATATATTTTTACTTAATTTACTTGAAACTATTAATTCCAACCTTGGCATTGATACATATAAATTTTTACTGTATATTTTAATGTCATAATATATTAGATAGCATAGTTGTATGAAATGTAAACTTTGAAATTCAATCGGTTAACTTTTACACTATAGTTGAAATCTTCTTTGCTGTCTAGAAATTCAAAATAAATGAGTTATTGTTTCATTAGTTCTTATATCCAGCGTCAGTTTCAAATGAAGTTATTGTATTTGTATGAATCAACAGCTTGTTTAGATTATAATTGTTCACAGCATCGATTTTCATCTCATGTCTGATATACATTTTATTTGATATCATAGTTACAGAATTTCAGTTATTGTCAAATGTATTGTTGTCATTTTTCCATTGTGTTATCTATTTGTTTGTTTTTTCTGTCAAGTAAGTGAGAAATCAGCTATGTTACATACATGTTTCTCTATTATCAATTATATCGATAGACTATGATTAGTGTAAATGAAACGTTGTTGTTAGAAGCTATGGGTTAGTTGTTAAATAATTTAAATTCCAATCACTGCGTTGATGTATTGTATCCGGACTCACCTACTTTATTTTGGCCAGTTGAACAGTAACAATAACTCTTACATGAAGCATGTAGCTCAAAGCTAAGTAAATAAAATTGGTTTCGAAAAATGAGTTGAAGTATCATATTTCTGGAATTCATGTTAGAAAACATTTTGTAGAGATTTTTACGTCATTTATTATTATTTATTTTAACACAGATATTGGTAAAAGGAGGCACCAAATACATATCCGCCATACAAATCTCATTTGATATGTGTGAGGGCTGTGATACTGCCCGGGTGCCCTAACCGAAGTAGGTGGTTTTCCTATGGGGCCACTCCCCGAGCCTTCGACCTTACGGTCTGATCCACAAGGCAGTGGAGCATCGTAAGGAAATACAAGTCCCATGGTAGCAGGTGACCAACGATTGTTTCATACGCCATTTGTTCCCGCAGAATACTGGAGCCCATGTGCACATTTTTTACGTCAAATTATTCATAATATTCGTGACATTATTTTTGAATGTCCATCAGTCAGCCATAGTCAACGCAGAGCGTAGGACACGTGCATTGGCTTGGGTGGTCACGTCAATACAGCGAACTTACATTGTTAAGATAAATACCATAATAGTAGGAAAGTTGGTGATAGTGAAAATGATTAAGCATAGGATATATTTAGAGAAGGAACTCAGGATCTAAAGATGAGATTGAATGTATCTGTGCCGGTTTGACCGATCCTGACCCATATCACTCAACGTCCTCAACCAGTAATCGCATTAATTTCACGGGCCCCAACTAGGTGGTCTGCGTTTATCGACACAGCTCCGATCAGTAGTTAGTAGTTTCATAGATTTATATCGCGTCGTCGTCCGACCTCTTCCATAGTGTTTTTTCAACCTCCTCCTTTCAGCCAGTTAGTCAACAACGTAGAACTTCGTACGTACGTACATCAGTTCGAGTTGCCATACCACATTAACAAACAGATACAATTGTCGATTCAAATCCCATAGTGATAGAGGTAGTAAAAGTATAAGCAGTAATCGGAAAGATTAGGGTTTGAAGATGTTATTCAAAGAGTATAATCTAGTGAAATAAACTTTGAAAGAGAAAAAAGGAGACAAAGAATTCCTTTGGTTGATAGACGGATATCTCGCCTACGCCATAAATGACGCAAGTTGGCAAAAGCTAGTCCGGCCTTCTGTATCCGTGCTGAGATTTCGTCTCACACCAGACCACAAGGGCGGATGAGACTCCAAGATAAATGAAACGGTCGACACGCTCAACTACTTCACTCCCTATCATTAGTTCAGGTGTCATTGCAACCTACTACTTTACTAGTTGAAATCGCATTTCGAGAATCTAGGTGCTTACCTTCGCATACCACATTCTAGATATCTTAGTTGATGAAAGTTTCAAACCTTAGCAACTGATATGCTATGTCTTCTGCTATCATAGGGCATGTTTCACAGACACAGCAATTCTAAGTATTTTATGAAGATAGTTTTCTTCTTAGATTATCATAAATAGCCGATTATTTCTAAGGTTATCATTGTTGACTGATGTTTGCTGAATAACTGGATAATCGCTTCACTCTTCTGAAAAGCTGGTTCACCTTCTCTCATCCCAAGATTTCTTAATGAAGCACGTGATAGAATTATGTGTGGTACATAAATGAACATTTATTAAACAATATGTTTTAAAACCGCTAACGTGTTACATGGCTATATATCTTGTCGTCTGCTCTTATTCGGTGCGATGTTCAGTGGTATGGGAGTAGATTGGAAGAAAGCTAGGGGCGGCCAGACCAAAACATGGCTCAAGTCCATGAAGTCACTGACAAGTGGTCTGAGTCATGTTGATAGGTATAGACTACCTGGTTGGGGACCGCGAGATGATAGCAACCGATGGTTAGAGACCCTGAATGACAAGGCTCAAAATCCTTTGCAATGGCGCAGGTGCATCCACTCTTTGTGTTCTCCCAAATTCTAATCTTCTGAATACTTCATGTCCCTTTTTTCCTCTTTCCAAATTTATTTCACTGAATTATACTCTTTAAATAACATCTCCAAACCCTAATCTTCCCGATCACTGCTTACACTCTTGCTACCTCTACCACTACGGGATTTGAATCGACAACTGCATCTCTGTGTTAAGGTGGTGTGACAACTCGAACTGATGTACGTACGTTCGAAGTTCTACGTTGTTACTGACTGACTGACTGTTCTTATTTGTGTGAAACCCTCTGCTTTATTTGGTCCTCTTATTATCTAATTAAAGCTTTAAATTGTCCACATAGTTTGAAGTGTCAGTATACCTTGCTTGCTCAAGGGAAATTTATAATTTTGTCGTTTTCATCGTTTTCTTGTAGGAAACAAACTGAAATCTAGTTTAATTTTCTAATTTTATTTTTGCGAATTTGCAAGTGAATGATTTTTCTACTAAAATAACTTCTAATTGTTCTTAACAAAAGCTATGACGCGTTTACAATTTGGTATTTGATGTATTTCTTTGATGGTCTATTTTTGGCGTTATGTTGTTCCGGTTCCTTTCTATTGTTCATATTCATTGCTAAAATTATATTGATTTGATTACTATTCCGTATTATAATTTTTAATATCCTTGTTTGTGTTTAAATTAATTAGGTGCTGATAATAAGGTGTATATATGGAATGTTTCTACAGAAGAGCCATTGGTTGAGATGAAATTCCCAGATATTGTTTTATCTGCTTGCTTCAATTATAATGGTTCTCGTTTGGTTACAACTTGTAAAGATCGGCGTACAAGAGTGGTTAACCCACGTGATGGAAAAGTTATTGTTGTATGTTTCTTTTTATTGTATTTGCTATAACTTGCTTATTTTAATGACTCAGTCAGTTTTATTTAACGTAATTTGTTTTCCTAATAATTTTGTTCTTACATGAAATATGAAATTATTTCTATTCAAGAGATCATAAAAAGATACAGTGACACAAATTAAAATAATATTGTGCATTGATCAAAAATGAAATCATAAAACGACCAAAATTGATAGAGATTAAAAGAAGACAGTTAAATAAGAGGGCGTGAAATCCAGATTTCTTCCATCTTTATGATATTTCTTGCTGGTCATAAGACACGTTCGATAAAAATCCAATTCGTGTTAACACTCACTGTTATTCTCAACCATACTTAACAATTCATTATATTATCGATTCAAAAAGTTAATAAATGAACAGCATATGTTAATGCAATACTGTCCTTCCTCTAAGTCATGTCACAAACTAACCGTCTGTCTGCTTCCCAACTATCAGTTCAAGGATTAGCGAATAGTACTTAATATGAAAGCCGTCAAAACAGCATCCGTCAAATATATACAATTATGTTAAATATTTCAATATACTAAGTATATTAAATACCTGATTACAGCAGCAACAACCCAGACAACTCACAGAGTAAACTCTTTACAAAACTTATTTGAAAGTGTGAAGACATATTTCAGCATCGCCATTGTACACAGAAATGGAAGGAAATACTTAATGGATATATTCTCGGAAAATAGCTAATAATAAAAATTAGTCAAGAAATGTTTATCAAATCTACGATTTAGTACAAAATCATTAGCAAGAATTGTTAAAGGGATAACTCTACTCTATATGAAAAACATCGAGATCACAAACATTAGAGCCATGAGGAACAGGCATAGCCTACAAGCCAAAAAGCTGTTATCGTCAATATTATGCGAAGCAAAGAACACAACAACAAGAGAAAACAAGGCAGAGACCGTATAGACAATACATTACAGCAACCGCGACAGATACTATACAGGACAAAGTGACCACCATGTATGTCTACGTTTACACAATTACCTATTACCCATTAAACTCCACAACTTCGCTTGTATCAGTGCATATGAACATGAGTTCGACTACGAAAATGTTGTAATATTTAACGGTGAAAACGCAAAGAGAATCTTTAAAACCCTGTTACTCCGCTAAAGCACCAATCAATAAACATCGGGACCAACCAAGTTTATCTGCCAATAAGTAAAGCCATTGAAAACTGCATGGTCAGAGATCAGATCAGGTGGAAAAATAGCCAAACTTTAATTTTACTAAAAGTTGTTGGAACGAAATGCGTTTGGTCATTTTACGGTAATAATGATTAACTGCAGTAAGCCAACAATCGTCCTTATCTTGTAAAGTTTAAGGCCTAAAAACTCATGGCATAACTGACGGTAGAAATGATCCACTTTACCTTATATACTTGTGGATGCTTATATCCGTTTCCAGGAAATTATGTCCTTTGTTTACACATGGGGGTGGTGTTTTGGGTCTTAAGACGGTTTTATTTGTCTGGGAAGTATATTAGGATGACAAATCATGATTCCAGATCAATGACAGACTTAAGCTCTAGGGTTCTGAAGAAACAAGTATCATATAAATCTGCCTTAATCATCGATAACCATGGGCACTATATCGTTGGTCTACTGTTTTCTGGGTCCGACGCTTATATGAAACATGAGTAGGACTCACCGTTTCATCAAAAAACCACCTGCTTCTAGTCGGTTGTTCTAGAAGTATTGTAACTGCTCACAAGTTATGACAATTCATAGTAAAAAAACAGTATTTTTTGAAAATAATTAATCTCTACGACATAACTCATCAACATCTTTTGTTTGTTCGTTAAAATGCCTATACAGAATAGTTTTATTGTTTTACAATGAAATGTGTTCTAATTGATATTATGGCATGGGTTTTTAGTGCATATGATTGTCATGCACTTCATGCTTTGTAGCTTATAATTTTGCTTTTTGTGTTGATTAATAACTAATTTGTCTCAATGTATGCAAAATTTATTTTATAGGAAGGTATTTGTCATCAAGGCACCAAACCACAAGAAGCTATTTACATTAAAGACGATCGAATTTTTACTACTGGTTTTTCACCAATGAGCGAACGACAATTCGCTTTATGGAATAAAGTATGTTATGCATTGCTTTATTGATACCTTGCTTTTTTGCTTGACAGAATAACTTGTTATGATGGCAAAATATTTTTTTCTTGAAAAATTATTGCGTTTTCAAAGAATACATCCCTTAAACCTGTTCAGAAAGGTGCAATAGCTATAAAACCAAACTTAGAGAAAATAGTCAATTACGTAATGAGCTTTAAAATAATTTAAGTTTTCCAGAACAATATAAAATAAAAGACAGCGGCCTGCTTGAGCATCTGGGCTACCTGTTCCTGCCATCTAGATATTTCAACAAGTTATCTATTTTTGTTTGTTTTAATATATCATTATGTTTATTAATCGCATAACCTATTCTGCTGCGTTTCTGAAAAGTGTACGATTTTTCGCTGTCAAAGTTACAAAAAACTCAATAAGAGACAATGTGGTTGCTGGCAATATACAGCGAAAAGAATGAACATTATTCAGATATTCATTCACTGAACTGCTAACATCTAACTGGCGATCACTCAATATTTATCGCCAGGACCGACCAAGAAGAAAGAAACGGAAACTTGTTGAAATACTTTACGCTGAGAATTCTATATTGTACCAAAAATATAACATGCAATACATTGTCAGCTTTCTCATTAACTTCCTCACTTAAGATTTCCGTCTTTGTGAATGTAAGTTAATCTTATTGAATAGTATCAAAACTATTCCTAAACAGATCCAAATGCATAATATTTGTTAACCCCCTCGAAAATCGACAGAACTATGGACTGCATGGAGAGCCTTATCCGTAAGTAGTATAGTTTAGTCATGGACTTCTCCTAACATCATTGCTTTTTGTTGTGGTCTAGTTTCCACTTTTTTATAGTATTTCCCCATCCACACACGATTGTAACGAAGTTGTGAAAAGTCTACCAGAAATTAATGTGTGTTTTAGTGGAATCGCATCACACTGGATTGTTACCATAAGTTCTACTTAATACATTGAATGACTTAATATGTTCACTTGCATAAATTTCATTAATCACTTAAATTGTAATTTTAGGACGACTTTAGCGAACCTTTACACATTCAAGAACTGGATACAAGTAATGGTGTAATGTTTCCTTTCTATGATTCAGATACCAATTTGGTGTATCTTTGTGGAAAAGTAAGTGATACTCTTGTTTCATATCATATCTGATATGATTACTTAGTGGTAATCTTATAACTATTTAACCGCTTCTAAATTTTGAAATTTTCATCATTTCTGCTTGTACAATCATTTGAAATCTTTAAAAGATCTGAATATTCTATCCTTTTAAGGGATACATATTTGTTCCTAAACTGTGGCACCATGCATTAAATTTCTCCATCATCTAGTTCGAATTATGATTTATGTAATAACTTATTCCCAAGCTGTAATGTAGAAAAGATTTATTCACTTCTATAATTTTATTCAGATAATTACTTCCATTCTTTGTTTTTGCTCGCAACTTTTGTTTACTTTGTAATAAACACTTTTTCTGTGGCATCTGTAATATCCTTCGCTTTAAACATTCTGTGCAACCTAAGAGTGAGATTGTTTAACTTGTTAAATCAATTCTAAACTATATCAACAATATGATACCTTATGATCACTTGCTCAGTCCTTTTATAAAAAGTGAAATGGCAAGAGTGAACACAAGTTACTCATTTTCATTTATCTTTGCTTTTATGTTCATAAGTTACTTCGCTAATACCTCTTATTCATAATCATGTAGAAAACGAAAAGTAACCAACAAGAATCGAATATTGGTTACTTTTCATTGTCTTCTGAGCTTTTTTCCTTTTGGAAACTTACATGTAAAGGAAAACATTTAATTCATTTACTGATAACTTTCTAATGGACTGGTCGTTGTCTCTGTCTCTGTGCGTGTTTATCATCAAAGGAGATAGAAAGTATCTAGTTTTACATCACATTTATTTTCCGCCTTAAACTTTCTGTTCCAGTCACATGTTTTTTCAGCCACGTGAATGCTACTTGTATATGTACACATATTACTTAAAAGTTTATTATTAAGACCCATTTTACTTGTTTTTCTTCTACTTCTAATAAAATGAAAGTGTGTTAAATCGTTCAGATGATTACAAAAAAATCTTGCACATGATTTTGATAGGACTTAAATCTGACAGATTTGTTATTGTTTTGTAAGGCATTTCTAATAAATTTATCCTCTCGTCACTGATTTCAATACAATTGTTTGATTAATGGTTCTGGAATATATATATCATTCTATACTGTTATCAGTCATACTTTAAATATTGTAGGCTATTGATACATCCAGGCTACTCAAATCGAGATAGATATTTAGCAGAGTTTGAATCTACAGCCTATTGGTTTAAAACTAACTAATTCTATACATGGTCAAACTTCATTGAGTTCTTGTTTCATTAGAACTCGTTTGTTATGGAAATTTCACCTAATGTTTGCAGCACATAACTTTTGTGAATAGATTGTTATTGTTCATCACTTTTAATTAATATACGAGATATATATTATGCTTAATTAGATGTATTTCAATGGTTTTCGTCATACGATATCTCCGCACGGAAATTAGTTACTTGAAGGTGTAGGTTGATAATAATGGTACAATCATACATTTTCATTTTTTTTAATAAAGTGGACTTGATTTTTTTTATTGTTCAATATGGATGTTTAGTTTAAAAGAGTTATTTTCAGGGGTGTTTGATGTAACTTCTGATCGTTTTGTAAGATAAAATAAAATAAAAATTAACTTCTTAACATTTCTGCTTCTTAGATTACAAAAATAACAGTTACTTACATACACTTTCCAGTAGGTCATCTTACCTGCCTTAAGGATATTTCCGATTTAAAATCTAGCTGCACTAGTTACGATGTTCAATATATTGTTGACTGTCGACTGTTTTGAACTTAATCCTTTTCTAGCTGGTTGTCATCGAAAGTCAAGATTACCAAATACCCCTTCTGAGAGTAGTAGACTTACGCTTCATTCACTGATTTTCAGGTATCATATATTAAACTATTGACTAACTAAACGACACTCGCCAACTCACTGTTATCTCGCTGTACCACTAATTAGGGTTTGTATGATATTGCTAGTATTTAACGTGGTATTTTAAGGTTTTTACAGATATTAATAGAATTTTTACGGAAACGTCTAATTAATTAGTGTAATTAATAACATTGAGTTAATGAATTGTTAATTAGTTTAAGGAACTAGTTATTATGTTTTATTTGTTACCTTACATCCATTTTGACCAAATTTGGTCTGACTGATTAACTGAATTAAATATTTGCTGTGTTGTTCAGTTTCTTTTTTTTACTCAAATGATCAATTGTAGAAACCGTATATCTGGAACATTTTCTCAACTGAATTAATGCCAAATTCACTGCTACATTATTCTAATCTGTTTTGCAGTATATCTTGTACTATTTATTTTGTGCTAATATTGTATGACAACCAACGTAGATCTACGTTTGTTTCTACTTTGATAATAACTAAGTGACTGACTAATGAACTACATCAATAAGGTTAGAAGGTATTATTTATTCGACTGCAACCACTATCATGATAGAGGCCAAATTAAATCAGTGCACTGTTAATTCTGCTTGTTTTTTTATTTATTAAATTATGTGAATGCCTCCTTTTATAATAACTGTTTCCTTTTTTTGTTTCTTTAAATTGTAAATTCATGTGTAGTAAAACAAAATCGGCATATATGAATCCATACTGCTGTTGTATTCTTATGAGTTAACTAGAAAATTATTTATTTATGGTATATTTACAAGTTTGTTATCGCATATATTTTATGATTGAAAATAATCATAAATTTCAACATTGTTGTGTGTTTCTTTTTATTTGACTTTTTTGTTAAGAAGTTTAACGTCTTTCTTTCTCCTCCATAATTTAATTTTTACGTCCATATTTGGTAAATTATTCGGTATTTTTTTCTTTCTATCCACATTCTCCAGTAGTAAATTAAGAATAAAATAATCTAATTCGTGGATTGTTTATCTATTTTGTTCGCCTACTATACAGCGCTAATTATTAGTGATGTTAGTTGTTTAGACCTAATATGAAATTTGTTTGTAACTTATTTCATGTGATTACTTCGTTCAGTAGGTAGTGTACTATATATATATATATATATATATATATATATATATATATATATACCACTTAGATTTAGCCAGTGAATTAGTATTATTGCTAATACTTACAGAAAATCTGCTGCCTAAAGCTAGTTAAACAGATAGATAGATTGATGTTCAAGTGCTAGTCATCTCAAATTTTAAACGATTTTATTTAGTTATTATACAGGCTTAGATTCTTACCAAAACAAGTAGTATCATAGAGTTATTTAATCGTTCAAACACTAATATGATTTTGCATAACCGATGTCTATATCGTTCGACTATTTATTCATATTTCGGAAAGAAAACATTAATCGCTGTTAAAACATGTAATTTTTTTTGAATTATATTACTTATTAATACCTATGATTTTGTGCTAGATTTTTACTCACTCACTTTTTATCATTTGGTCACATGCCTACTATTTTTTCCACAAGTTAAACAAGCAGTGACTATTGAGCCATGTCGATACTAATCATGGTCAGTAAATATGCGTTTTGTTTAAAGTGTATGTAGGAATTTTACGTACGATTGCTGGTAGATACTCATTTTCCTTTATAGTGAAAAATAATCAAATTTTAGAAGTCACGTCTACCTCTGTTTTGCCAACCAGATACTTTCACTAGTCCTCGTGTACAAACGTGTGCCTAAAACCAGAGCATACAAATTTGTACTTGCTAAATGTGGTGTATTGTATTGTTACCTATTATTAAACTGAATTATGAACATTTAATGCATCATATATGGTTAATAAATGACTGTAATTTGTTAGTAGTCGAAATGCGAAAACAATATTCGATGCTTAATTTTTCGTATAATTTACCATGTCTGTAACAAAAAATGTACAAAATTAGAATTATTGTAAACATCAATGTCTTTATGTGTAAACGTTTATTCGTATGTATTCCTTATCGTTGGTTGATTTTCTGATTAGATATGCTGTACAAAAATAAACATCTGTTCACCTAACAATAATAGTCTTAAATTGATCAGTTTTTGGTATCATTTAAACGTGTTTTATTTCCAAATAAGAATTTATGCTTAAATCAATAACCGATTGCACTTTCTATATATATAAAGTTTGGTTTTTCTTTTCTCGATTATTCGCTATCACAAAGCAAAGTTTCTATATGAAAATCTTTGATATAGTCTGTTTTAGAGCAGTAACTTACCCATTAGCACACTCGACTTTAGACCGGTGCGTCACAGATTCACACTACACTTTATGTACTTTGTTTCTGTTAGTTAGATAGTTTCATTAGTCTTTATAAATATGGTTTGGTTCAAAGCTAAGCCCTTAATAAATGGCTAACATCATAAGGCCAGGTCTATGAAATTCATCGTTCCAAATCCACATAAATTACCTTTCACTGCGAAATGCACTATGAAAAAATGTAAGTATATTCGGTTTGTGAAAAGTCGTGCTGTGCTTCCTGGGTTGTATATTTGAGCGCTCACCCACTCCCGTGATTTCTAGCTTCAAGTGGTTGTCTAACTACAATGTCATTGACGAAAACTGTAAGATAAAATATAATACCACAATAATTTTCGATTATCCTCTGATTTTATCCTCACCTAAGACACAGGCCAAATACCAAGACATAATGTCATAATTATCAAGATCTAACTTCTTTAAGTCATCTAATTTCTTCCAGTTTTTAAGCAATAAGATTCATCACACATAAGTAGGTTAGGTTGATAAAAATTGTTCTTTCGAAGTACATTTCTTATATTTTATTTCCCATTATTATTATCAATATATATATCATTCCAGTTAGTTTCACTTTTTAATTCGATCTCTGCTAATGTAAGTTTTGACTACTCTGTCTGATATCCATGAATAGAGTTTTAATAGTTACTATTAATGAACCTCGCATTAAACAAGTTTATTTAATCTAGTGTTTTTTTATAACCATATCTCTAGGATTATAACACAGATGTTAAAAGGTGATCTTTGTAATATACAGTTTTATATTTGATTTAAATTTGAATCAAAAGACCCTTTTTTACTTTGTACTCTCCCAAACATCGGTTATAAATATGTCATACCTGTCACCAGAAATAATTAACTCAACTGTTTTGATCATTCCCTTAGCAATAGTTAGGATTGCTGAGTTTGTATCTTTATAGCTATACATCTAAATCTAACTACCTAACGAAGTGGATAAATTTCGATTCTATTGTTTGTCATTATTCAATAACTAATACATCAATATGATGCTGTATTTTATATTAGTGTATGTAAAGGAAACGTTAGTTTGCATCACAGTTTATTCATTTGATATTTCTCCACAGATCTCATTGTCACACTATGTTTTCCTCACAGAAATATTCTAAATTTTATTCCTGTCGTATTTGGTGTTTAGTGGTAAATGAAATTGTTGGTGTTATCCAAAGTTTTCCTCAAAAAGTCCTCCAGAGGGGCGCTGCAAAACATTTTATCCAATAAGTGTTGAATGGAAGTTTCTCAGAAACGTCTATAAGGTGAAGTTATGTATCACATTTCTAACTGGATAATTACCCATCCTACTAGTATACTTAGGATGGTTCTGGAAACTTCCACAAGCCCAAGGCTATCTGAAACACTACGAATACCCTCGATTTTATGTACATGAACTTACCTTGGAGTAAAGGGTTATTTTCACATTTTCGCCCTTTTTCTTGTGTTCAAGTTTTCGTGTAGAAGAACTTAGTAAACCGAATCAAGCGTTCATTTCGAAGACTAAACGGAAATATTTAAAAAATTATGTACACTTCACCATGCTATTGCAAAGTAGAGAGAAATAAAATAAACTTTCATGAGCTTAAGTAAATGTAAGTATAGGTTTGTGGAGATTGTTGAATTTCATTGAAATCATGAATCGACCTAAGTTAGATCACCATTAAAAACCTTGAGGTACTGTAAGACCATTTCATCCTAGTATGGGGATTTCAACAGTGCAAATGCTCGACTCTGCACGCGAGAATCAAACTTGCGACCTTACGTTGAGGATGGGTTCTGTTGGAAAGTCCGTCCATTGCCTCCACGTTTTCGATAGTCATCTAACTTGGATCGGTTCAAGATTTCAATGAAATCTAATTAATTGTTGGTTTTTAAGTTAGTTAGGCACAATGATATTTAGGATATCCTGAACAGATTTTTAAATACCATAGTATTATTTTGATTGATAAGGGGGATATTTGTATTTTACAGATGCGTTGATATGATCTACAGTTTTCACGAACAATCTTGTATTAAATTCTCTATACTGCTCATATTTGGATTTAGTTTTTTTCCAACTATAAATTATGGTTTCTAATAATCGATTTTTAAATCACTTTTCTTGTTTTCCATTTGTAAATACAGGGTGATAGTACAATCAGATATTTCGAAATTACCGATGAACAACCATATGTACATTATATCAATATGCTTACTAGTTCTGATCCACAACGAGGAATGGGTTGGATGCCAAAACGAGGATTAGATGTTAATCAAAATGAAATTGCTAGATTTTATAAATTACATGCGAAAGGTTTATGTGAAGTTATTCCGTTCACTGTACCTCGGAAATCAGAACTATTCCAAGATGACCTTTATCCAGATACAATTGGTGATATGCCTTCATTGACAGCTGATGAATGGATGTCCGGTAAAGATGCGGATCCTATTTTAGTGAGTTATTTATTAACTTTTCAATACTGTATACCAAAATTTTGCTACCAATATAATTTTGAAGATCCATTTTTGTTGGACTGTGGTCCCAAATCGCATAGTGAACTTATTTTAGTGGCCGGTCAATAACGCTGTCCTCTTTTACACTGTGTATGAATGGCGTTAAACTTCGCCTGTCAACATATGTATGACCAAAATGATATATTTTGTTTTTTCTGCACACTAGACCTTAACTAATTAACCTTCCAATCCTTTATTTGAGTTAATCACATCGAGTATAAGGACAGGTGGCCACTCATGACTATGATGGTGGTTAACCTAGGTAGGAAATCAAATAAAGATTAACAATATAAAAATTGTTTAATTTCAGTGGCTGAATGTTACTACAGGGTACTTTAAGGCTTCAATTCTTAAAATTTAATCCATATGACGAACAATATGCTATCGAATTGTTTCAAGCCATATCATATTGCTTTACTTTTAATAGTTTTCTTCAGATAATCTCACTTTAAAATTAATTTAGTCAGTCGTATGCAACATAGAACTTAGTAAATATGTATTTTTCTAACACCTTTAAAATGTGATGTTATGCTAATCTTAACAATTTTCTTGTGAATTGACTGTTATTCAGGTTTTAAATTTATCGAGGTAGGAGTACTGATTGCGAAAACTGAAAAAATTAGTTAAGCACTTCAGTTAAACTCTATAATTAACAAAATACCTTCGAAAAAGCACTCATTATTTTTGTAAATTAAATCAGCTTTGTTTTTGCGTTAAGTTTCAATATTCTTGAAACAAAGCTGGTTTTCTACTGCTCAATGATGATATAATTTCCAAAAGTTGTGTGACAAAAACTGATAATCAACTGTGTGCTTGATGGTCTCAATTGATTATAAATTTAAGCATATTTATAAGTGGTGTGACCTCATGGGTGACCTTAGGTTCATTGTCTTAAAATAAGGTTCTCTTTATTCTATTTCACGGTTAGTTCTGTTTACTGATGGATGAAATGACTTTTTTTAAACTGCCTGCACTGTGGCGATCGGTGCAATAATAATACGACTAATGATAATAAACGTTATGTATTTTAATAAATCGGATAAAAGCCTCCTGTATTAATGCATAAATATTCAGATACTACCAACAAATTTTCCCTATGCAAATCAATGTTATAAATCGCCTTTCGCTTCTTATCGATTTCTGATATCATATTGATTTTCGTACCGATCTGTGTACGTGTGAAATTTAATCGATGAATGTAAAATTAAATAATGGCTTGTTATCTCCTATTATTTGCCTTTGCTATTATATACATACTAATACATAATCTAGTTGAAATCAGTTAAACTCAATATCATTTTATTATCATCACTACTGTGGTTGTAGTATTGTAAATTTCCACCACGCCATATGTTCGTTTTATGCACATATGCACACATATACATGTATACAATACTTGATTTTTTCAGTCTATATTAGGTAAAATACTTTTCATATATGGCTGAATATTGTAACGGTAGATCCCCAAATGCATGATTATTTTGATGTTGTATAAACCCACCCATGTGACCTGACTGTGTGTTTACTACTGGACAATTGTCCACATATTATGCGTTTTCACGTGCTGCACCATAAATAAGCTAACTTATATACATGAAGGATAAAAATCAGCTGTTATTTGTACACACTTTTATAGTACGTATATCTGTAATATATACAGACTGCCAGTTACTTAGATTCAGTAGGAGATTGCAAATATATTTTGTGAAATTTTTTTAACATTTCTAACTCTAATTCTACTGGTCTATAAGCTATTCTTTATAATTAAATCTACGTATGTGAATAAATGTTTATTTCGCCAATAATTATTATACACTCCCACATTGGTGTATTCTGTTTACGCGAACACACTATGTATGTTTTGAAGTTTTTGTTTAATCTAGTATTTGTGTATGTTTGGTGTTGTGAAAACAATTTTCATAAGTCTTTGCTTATTGATCCTTCGCGTTGTATTATTATTCTCTTGGAACCATAATTCAGTACAACTGCAACTTGAAATAAATAAATATACTTTGAAAGTCATTTTATTTTGTTTTAATGGTTCTGGTTCATCCATTGTATTGTAACATTACCTTACCTTAAGACCATGCTCATAGTAGAGTTTAGTATGAGGGAGATAAGTAACTTTGGTTGATTTTCGTATTTTATTAGTCTGTTGGTTTCAAGGAGCTCTAAATATGTCCAGCTATATGCTATTTCATCTAGGGCTGGGCTGAACAAGAACACAAGTTAGGACAATCGAATGTATTTGAATACAAAATTACATAACATCTCAGTTAAAGCTGAGAACCATACAGTAAATACCTAATTTGCAAAATGTCTCAAACTTGACTGCTCCTTTTGCAAGTATCAGTCATTCGTCTTAGACTTCATTGTTCTCCCGCTTCTACACCAGTAATTCTTTGTTCTTTTTCACTTTCTTCGATCTTCTTAGCCTTCTGCTTCCAGGCATTTCACTCTCGGCTGACGAAACATACTACATATAATCGTTGACATCAGTAGCACACATCACAGGGCTTTTTCAGTTTGAGATTTTTATAAAAGCTCCTAAAACACAAAGAATCTAACCCCAATCGCATACATAGTGGTGGATCACTCAGCATTTCTGTTTACGTATAATCATATTTACATCCAATTGATTTGTTTTCTCTTAAGACATGAGTTTAGTAAGTTACTAGTAGGAAAAAAAACATACGTATCCTTACGACTAGGATATATTGGCTCCTCTTACAAAAAATATAAAACAATATTAATGGTTAAAATAATGTGAGGTTACTGGTTCACTTCAATCAGAGAAGTTTACATACAATATTTTTCTTGTTCCAATATTTCATTTTTATCCTTCCCCATGTTTTGTATGTTATTCTGATTTTGTAGATATCTCTAAAGGAGGGTTATGTTCCAAAATCGAAACCGAAAAAACGTATTGGGAAGTTAATCGCATCCACTCCAGCAGCAGATAAAGAAGAACAAGATTCAAATTTGACAGTTCCACAAACTAAAGTAACATCGCATCAAAATCGACAACCTGGCTCTAAATCACCAAATCCTGAAAATCCTCCTAAATCTGACCATCTAGATGCAAGTCGACAACGATTAACTAAGAGTACCCCACCTAAAGATACTCCATCTTCTGAACCAGTGGTATGCTTCGTCATTTATTTTTTTAAAATGGCTTTTTAATAAGTTTTGTCTGCTTCACATTGATAACCTATTTTTGTATATACTTATGTTTTTTATTAGGACTTTCTTTCAAAATTCTGATGTGGCGTTGACTATTAATAAATTAAGCTGTCGAAAATTTATAACCGTGTAATAATCTGTTAATAAACAAGTAATAATCGTTCATTACCTGTATTGCACATTAGTTTAATCCCCTTAGATTAAGATTAGACTGCGACACTTCTTAACAATATTAAAAAGTCAATAGAAATTTGGGAAATAATATAATGGTAATATAGAGTCTGTAGACAGAAAAAGAGTGTCCTATTAAACGGTTTTGAATCTAGTAAAGTTGAAAAGTGAATGGATTTTCACCATTTTTATCGATCTTTAACTGTGTTTCAGTCGACCTGTAATTTATGTTTTCTGATATTTTGATCACGATTCAGATTAGCAAGTTTATCAATATGTTGTTTCATCTGATCACTTCAGGGTTATTCCTACTTCCCTAATTTTCAATGCAGGGTAATCACCCGTCTGTAGGTGTGGTGTACGTCTCTATTGCTTCGATCATTGAATGCTCACAAAGAATTACTCTTATCTAACGCATTTTAGTTAACATTATGTGACACTCAGTTGTTACACAACAAAATAGTGACTCTTTTAATCAAGTAACTTTAATCTTCCTATTTTTAACTTCCAATTCTTTGTTTTATAGCTGTGTAATTTGTCATTGCTGCTCTTTATATTTGTTTTTAGGTGGAAATTCTATGAGTAGTAAACATAGTGTTATTTTACAAACACTAACAGTAATTCTGCTTAAAAGTTACTGAGTTTTGTGAATAAGTGTTAAATCTTTCTTGTAACGATAACCATGAGTACAGCTTTCCCAATTTGTGTTTCCTAATGCCCTTTAATCTTTTCTGATCGGTCGTTGTTGCTTTTAATTTGCCGTTTCTTTGTGCATCTCAGTGTTATATATATATATATATATATATATATATATATATATATATATATTACTGTTAAAGAATAGTGTGTCAGTTTGCCGCTTTATCGAATTAGCAATAAATTTTGTTTAAATATAGTGAAAATTCCCATTTTGCCATTTGGTAAATAAAGAAGGAACGAATTGAGCGAAGAAATTTCTTTTCAATTAGTTTTTCATCACGGCTCAACACTAATATATACATATATATATGATTTACAATAATGATATAATACTCATCGAGTGGATACGTTACGTAATAGTTACATAATGACATTTATATTAACACTAATTGGAAGAAAGAGGATTATTAATATTCAAAGTAAATCAAGAAGTTGCTACGTTGCGTAATATATGAAAAAGAGAAGGAACAGAATTTCATAATGGTTGGTCAATAGAATAGTAGTTTCGTAAGAATCAAGAGATGAATGTTGAGGAATTATAAAATTCAAAAATAACAAAACAAAATGACAAAAAATTTTAAAGAAAAAAAACCAACTATAATAATTTCTATCATTAGTACATAGTGATTACTGTAGGCCAAAGCAAATCAAATTCCAAAATAAAACGTTTTCGTTTTTCGTAATCAAGTAATAATGGCAACTAATTTTTTTAACACATATCTATCGATATCCGTAGCACACACCACAGTATAACTCTTAATCCAATCATTTATTTCCTTCCACGTTGTCTACACAATGATCACCACTCAAAGTTTTCGGAGTTTCAAGAATATTGGACAAATTTAAATTTACATTCAACTTTGCGAAATACTACTTATCTGCTCTCTGTTTTTATTGACTAATTGGTTTCTAAAATAATTTGCTGCAAAATAACATTTCACTAGAGTCAGTATTTTGTTTGTTTGTTTTTTACAAAATTCTAATTAAAAAAAAGACATTCGATAATAAGAGTTGTTGACCTTACAATAATTTCATACGCTAGATTCCACGATCTGAGTTTTTAGATTCAAATTTTATTTTTCAAGAACAAGCTGACACTTTAGGTCACAATATACTTCCATAACAATGTAGTTGAAACAATCAACAGATTCACTTATTTCAAAAGTTTCACATATTTTACTTGATTGATTACTGACTGAATCTTTGAACTGGTGAGCAACGAATGACTCAGTTATGGTTACTTACTTACTTACTTACTTACTTACTTACTTACTTACTTACTTACTTACTTACTTACTTACTTACTTACTTACTTACTTACTTACTTACTTACTTACTTACTTACTTACTTACTTACTTACTTACTTACTTACTTACTTACTTACTTACTTACTTACTTACTTACTTACTTACTTACTTACTTACTTACTTACTTACTTACTTACTTACTTACTTACTTACTTACTTACTTACTTACTTACTTACTTACTTACTTACTTACTTACTTACTTACTTACTTACTTACTTACTTACTTACTTACTTACTTACTTACTTACTTACTTACTTACTTACTTACTTACTTACTTACTTACTTACTTACTTACTTACTTACTTACTTACTTACTTACTTACTTACTTACTTACGCCTGCTACACCTAATGGAGCATAAGCCGCCAGTCAGCATTCGCTAACCCACTCTGTACTGGGCCTTACCTAATTCCATCCAATTCTTGTTCATTTTTCTCATGTCTGTTTCCATTTCCCGGCGTAATGTGTTCTTTGGTCCTCCCCCTTTTCCTTTGGCCTTGAGGATTCCATGTGAGGGCTTGTCTTGTGATACAGATAGGTGCTCTCAATGTGTGTCCTATCCACTTCCAGCGCTTCTTCCTCCGTTGCGATCTGGTTTGTTCTTTCTCACAGTTGGTTGTTGCTAATAGTGTCCGGCCAACGGATCCAAAGTATTTTGCGTAGACAACTGTTAATAAACACTTGTATCTTCTGGATGATGGCTTTCGTAGTTCTCCAGTTTTCCGCCCCATAGAACTATCTTGACATTTGTATTGAAAATCCTGACCTTGGTGTTGGTTGACAGTTGCTTTGAGTTCCAAATGTTTCTCAGTTGTAAATATGCTGCTCTTGCTTTAACGATACGCGCCTTCACATCTGCATCAGATCCACCATGTTCATCAATGATGCTGCCCAAATATGTAAAGGTTTTTACAACTTCCAAATCTTCTCCGTCAATTGTGATTGGACCGGTGCATGCTGTGTTGTATCGGAAAACCTTGCTCTTCCCTTTGTGTATATTGAGATCTATTGCTGCTGAGGCTGCTGCTACACTGTTCGTCTTCTCCTGCATTTGTTGTTGCGTTTGGGATAGAAGGGCCAGATTATCTGCGAAGTCTAGATCGTCCAATTGCATCCTAGGTGTCCATTGTATCCCGTGCTTCCCTTCAGATGTTGACGTCTTCATGATCCGGTCTATCACCAGGAGAAAGAGAAAGCGTGAGAGTAAGCAACCTTGCCTAACACCGGTCTTCACTTCGAACGACTTTGTCAACTGTCCTCCATGCACGATTTTGCAGTGTAATCCATCATAGGAATTCCGTATGATATTGACTATCTTCTGAGGCACGCCGTAGTGTCGAAGAAGTTTCCATAGTGTTATTCTGTCCACACTGTCAAATGCTTTTTCGTAGTCAATGAAGTTGATGTAGAGTGATGAATTCCATTCAATTGATTGTTCCACAATGATCCGTAGAGTTGCGATTTGGTCTGTACACGATCTATCCTTACGGAATCGTGCCTGTTGGTCTCGAAGTTGGGTGTCTACGGAGTCCTTCATTCTGTTTAACAATACCCTGTAGAAAACTTTCCCCGGTATTGAGAGAAGAGTGATGCCCTGTAGTTATCACAGTTTCTGAGATCGCCTTTCTTTGGTATTTTGACCAAAAGTCCTTCTTTCCAGTCTGTTGGTACTTGTTCCTCATCCCAAATCTTATTGAAGGGAATGCGGAGTATCCTTGCAGTTGCCGCTACGTTTGCTTTTAGTGCCTCTGCTGGAATGTTGTCTGGTCCTACTGCTTTGCCACTCTTGATTTGCATGATGGCCATGCTGATTTCTACAATTGTTGGTGGGCCAACGTTGATTAGGAGGTCCGTGGGTGCTGCTTCGATGTTGGGTGGGTTCAGTGGAGCTGGTCGATTCAAGAGTTCTTTGAAGTGTTCTACCCACCTGTTTTGTTGCTCTTCAATGTTGGTGATTACCTCGCCTTCCTTGCTTTTCTCTGGTCGTTCTGGTTTGCGACGATTTCCAGAGATTTTCTTTGTTATGTCATACAGTTGTCTCATGTTCCCTTCTCTTGCAGCCTTTTCCGCTGTCGTTGCTAAATCTTCCACATATTTACGTTTGTCGGTTCTGATACTCCTCTTCACTTGTTTGTTTACTTCTGTGTATTCAGCTTGCGCTTTGGCTTTTTCTGCTCTTGTTCGACTGGTATTGATTGCTGCCTTCTTGTTCCTCCTTTTTTTAATCTTATCCAGTTTATCAACAGTGATCCATTCCTTGTGATGATGCTTCTTGTGACCCAGGACCTCGTGGCATGTTGAAGTGACTGCCTCTTTGACCCCCTTGCAGTTGCTCTCCACAGTAGTTCCTTCTCCATTGAGTAGATCATGAAAGGCCTGGAACTTGTTGCTGAGGACTATCTTGAATTTGTTGAGTTTGTCAGTATCCTAAAGAAAGACCGTATTGAAATTTCGTGATGTTGTCCGCCCCGTTGTGCAGTGCTTCTTTGAAGGAGGCTTTGATGATCCTTGGTCCATGAGATTCCCATCCTATAAGCGCATTTCGCGCTTGTCTTCCCATGATGTCTTCATATCCAGTGTTGTCCGTTCCAACCTTGGCGTTGAAATCTCCCATCAGAATGGTCAGGTCCTTTGTTTGGCACTTCTCGACGATTGACTGCAGCCTATTGTAGAATTGATTTTTAGCGTCTTCATTGTAATCGTTGGTAGGCGCATAGCATTGGATAATATTCATTGTAATGCCCTCCTTTTTTGTTTTGAACGAGGCTTTGATGATCCTTGGTCCATGAGATTCCCATCCTATAAGCGCATTTCGCGCTTGTTTGGACAGCATCAATGCAACTCCTTGTGTATGTGGGGCATTTTCTTCTTCATGGCCGGGGTATAACAGAAGCTCTCCTGAAGTTAGTCGTTGTTGTCCAACTTGCGTCCAATGTGTTTCACTGATCCCAAGTACCTCTAGTTTGTATCTTCTCATTTCTGCAGCAATTTGGAAGGCTCTCCCGGTGTCCCACATTGTACGAACATTCCATGTACCTAAATAAATGGTCGCTCTGGTTGTCAGAAGGGGCATCGGCCTTGTAACTTCCGAAGGAATTCGGCTTTCATCATGAGGCGTCATAGTTCTTCTAAATGAAGACCTTCTGACTCCCAGGGCAGAGGTTAAAAGGTTTGAATAATTTTTCCTGGTTAGCGTTTTTTTAGCGAGTTAGTTTTCTACGGGATGGGGACGCTAACCCCATGCCCAACAAACCCAAAGTTCGAAGGCGAAGTCGTACTGCTGACTGTACAGAGGTGTGACAGCAGTAAGGTGTTTCCTTCAGACAACCAGCATGACAGCGATGCTGCCTTCCCACATGGAGGGATGGGGTTAGAAAAGTTCGACTCTAGAAATGCACACCTCGCCTTATCCCACGGATATCCGTCTCCGGCGGTAAGGTCTCAACAAGTACGGAGCTAACACAAAAATTGCCATAAAAAGGTCGTGTGTGACCGACCTCAAGCAGTTGTCCCTTGGGAACTGCAGTCACGCTCTCAGGTTACTAAGACCACTTCTAATCCGATTTCCTTTTCAGGTACCTCCAGAAGAACCCTGAGACAATCGTTTATTTTTAGGAAACACAAATTTTAAGCATAAGAAGAGACATCGTCTAACATGGCGACCCCCTACACCAAACTAACGATGGACTCAAATAGACCATATTGCCATCAGTCATCGTTGGAGAGGGTCGGTAGAAGATTGTCGCTCATTCTGGAGTACCTGTTTGGACTCCGACCACGCCCTAATACGAGCACACATCTGCTTGCGCCTCACTAGACGCAAAAAGCCACATTAAAAAGACCCATTAGAAGTGAGTTGAGTAACGAGAAAACCAATAGTAAGTTCCAGGAACAACTGAGGTCACACTTCGGTAGTTCTGAAAACGAGGCTGACCCAGATGTTGCTTAGAAAGATATACAAGCAGCTGTGGAAGCAGCAGTGACATCTATTAGCGACTTAAGCCACAGAGTTTCAAAGAACCAGTGGATTTCTTCAAAGTTTATCACACTGATGGATTCTCGCAAACTCGTCCCTTCAGGTTCCGAACATGATGAAGAGCGACAACAAATCAGATCTAGGTTAGGAAAAATTCTAAAAAACGACCGTGAGCAGTGATGGGTAACGAAAGCAAAAGAGATCGAAAAGGCGGCGACTAAAGGGAACACAAGACAGCTTTACAGACTAATAAAAGAAACTGGAATTAATAAGTCAATTGTAAGTGAGATTATTTCGGAAAAAGACGATACACTCATCTATTCCCAGTCCGGACGTTTAGAACGATAGGCGGAACACTTTAGAGAACAGTTCAGCTGACCTTCAGCTACTCTACACCTACCGTCCATTCCCAGACAGTGTGAATGGAACATTGAAGTAGGTCCCCCAACTCTAGCAGAAGTTCAAAAGGCTATAGTTAATCTGAAACGAGGAAGAGCAGCTGGTTCAGATGGATTGGCTCCAGAAGTCTTTAAGGACGGTGGTCCAATTTTAGCGGTTAGGTTGACTAATATTTTAGCTAAGATCTGGGAGTCAGATATTATTCCATCTGACTGGTCGCAATCACTTATCGTCCCAATATACAAGAAAGGATCAAAATCATCTTGTGACAACCACAGAGGGATTAGTTTAACAAATATAGTATCAAAAATACTAGCCTCAATAATTATCGGGCGCGTAACAAAGACTCGTGAACTGCAAACACGAGAATATTGCGCTGCCTTCCGATCTGATCGTGGCTGGATTGACCACATATTCACCATTCGTCAGGTTTTAAAACACAGGCATGCTTGTCGGCGTCCGATAATGGTGGTCTTTCTATACTTAAAAGCAGCATTTGACTCTGTAGACCGTGAGGTTTTGTGGCAGTGTCTATCATTGAATAACGTAACTCAGAAGTACATAAACCTCGTGAGGGCTCTTTACTCGAACATTACAAGTCGAGTCAGAGCTAATGGCGAACTGTCATCTGATCTTGGAAACTCAAGTGCTGTCCACTGTATCCACTATTGTTTAAGTTCATCATACACCTACTGATGGAAATAACATTTTCGTCGACTGAATTCTCGGGTATTGATCTTTTACCAGGAGGTCCACTTATCGACTTGGAATACGCACATGACATAGTCCTGTTTGGTGAAGACGCTGACAAAATGCAGAGTCTTCTGGTAGCACTAAGCAACAATGCCAGAATGTTTGGAATGCGCTTCTCTCCCTCTAAATGCAAGTTGCTGCTTCAGGACTGGCCTGCATCAACACCCGAGCTAAGGATAGGGAGTGAAGTGGTCGAACGCGATCACCGGGTAAGTAATAGTGAGGTTAGACTCAGGGTATTAGGTAATGATGGTAAATCAGTTGATTAGGTTGTTAATCTTCATCGACTGAGATGGTTGGGCCACGTGTTACGTATGCCTGAACACCGATTTCCACGTCGTGCAATGCTAACGGGTGTTAGAGATGGTTGGAAGAGAATTAGGGGCGGCCAAACCAAAATATGGCATCAGTGCTTGAAGACACTAACCTCTATTTTGAGCCATGTTGGTAGATGCAGACTACTTGGTTGGGGTCCGCGTGACTTTCGTAACCGGTGGTTGGAGACTCTTGGTGACATGGCTCAGAATCGATCACAATGGCGTCGGTGTATACACTCCCTGTCTTCCCTTAAACTAAGAGATTAAAATCACTTCATATATTTCTACGAACTAATTCTTTATTCCGGTACTGTATCTTTATATGCAATCTTTCTCCTATATATTACCACCTTTAGCCTAACCACTCCTATGAATCCGGTGTTCATCTTGCTGTGCAAATGAGGTATGGCAACCTGGACCGATGCATATATGTGCCTGGTCCTACGTTGTAGCTAACTAACTGCGTCCAATGTGTTTCACTGATCCCAAACACCTCTAGGTTGTATCTCCTCATTTCTGCAGCAATTTGGAGGACTCTCCCGGTCTCCGACATTGTACGAGTTTTCCATGTAACTAAATAAATGGTTGCTCTGATTGTCAGAAGGGGCATCGGTCTCGTGACTTCCGAAGGAACTTGACTTTCATCTTGATGCGTCATAGTTCTTCAAATTGAAGACCTGATTCCAGGGCAGAGTTCAAAAGGTTTGAATAATTTTTTCTGGTTAGCGTTTTTTTAGCGAGTTAGTTTTCTACCCCATGCCCAACCCTCCTCCTTTATCCGTGCTTTGGACCGGCAGTAGCCCCCGGAGGGACTCCAGGCGGAGTCCAGTTATGGTTCGAAATACATAAATGTGAGTACTATGATACCAAAAAGATTGATTTTGTATTTTATTGACTATGGTTATAAGCTATATCATTGGTGATATTCGTCTTATCTCTTTTAAATTAGAAAAGAAAATAATATGAGATTAATTAGTAAGTTTTTGGATTTATCATATTATCTAATATTTTTGTACCTATTCTATTATTCTTTAAGACGACTCCATTTTCCTCTTTTTCTCACTTTAGAATGGTATTTCAACCGGTGCTTGTCATGCAAATCACACTGGTATTCATCATCTCATGGAAGATATTCGCAAAATGAAGATAATTATTAAAGGTCATGAAAGGCGTATACAAAATTTAGAAGAACGTCTAGATTTGACCGATAGTGGTGGAGATTGTGTATCTTCCATGTCTGTCAGCTCAATTAAATAACTGTACACTTACATCATTCGTCAGGCCTACAACAATACCCCCTTTCATCTTTATTATTATCTGTTATTTGCTACCAGTACGTTTACTAAACACTGTGTAGATCATGTCATATTTTTCGGATTGAACAGAATAACAATGACAATTAACCTAACCATGATCTATCGATTGCATGTATTATTCTGTAAGCTTTTTTAATTTGTAATGAACATCAGAAAAAATCTGTCTTCCATTCACTGAACAAAATCAAACATATAAGCTCATTTCTTTATCTCTATGATCAGCTCTTTTCAGTCTTATTCTGTTCCCCCCTTTATTTATCTGTGTGTATGTGTGAATCAATTGATAATTGATTAGTTGTTCAAACAAACAATACTTTTTAGCATTTATTAACAAAACAATATATATATACTCTTTGATCGTTTGCCTTTTTTCTTGTTCTTCCTCTAAGACATAATGTGCGGTTTTAATAGTTTACAAATTTACATTTTTGCTAATTAGTTTACTTTAATACAACAAACGCATATACGTAGTCTTTGCATTATACCTTTATATGCCTTTACAATTCACTAAGAATGTGCCACATCCATATATGTATATATGGGCTGTGATTGCATGTTTACCTGTGTTTACTTATTCAATGTGTGTGTGTAGGAAAAATTTATAAAGTTGATGTAACGCACCAGTGCCCATAAATTCTCTTTTCTTTACTACACATAAACACATTGTTAATGATTTCGATGTCTGTTTCTGTTTCTTCGTTTTAACACCGTTTTCCAGCAAATGATGAGATGTTTCTCTTCAGATTTATTATATATATATATATATATATATATATATATATATATATATATATATCACTTTCCTGTGTGTGTTACTTGCATGACATCTTTTTATTCTATCAGTCTATCTTTCTCATTGTTTTCTTGTAGTTTAGGTGTTTATATTTCCTGAGTCACTAGATCGTCTTAGACTATTCATACTGAATTCTATGTAGATTTTTTTAAAAAGTTCTATTTAACTGTATTTCTGTAATTGTTTACAAACTTTACAGCTTCTTTACCTCAGTTTATTCGTCTTGATATTATATACGTGAATGTGTGCCCCTTTTGTCTTTACTTTTTAATCAATGTCTGTGGGATTTCACTTTTTCGAGGAAATAAAACTGATTATCAAATGGAATTTTGATGACTTAGAACTCAGAAATGTTCTCATTGAATTAATGCCTTTAGTTAATGTTATTTGTTGTTCATTTAGGCGTTATCGTTTATACTGTTACTGTTGCTATTTCATTATTTTCAAGGTGGAGAATAATAAGTATCCTGAAATGGATTTGTTTGTTCTTTACCTTTTGTAAAACAGTTTTATTTAATGGGCTTTGACAGGCGACTCTGTATATACTTTTTTCCATGAATAAAAATCAAAATACTTTTTTATGTAAGTTAGAATTTACAAAGGCCAACACAGTCAGCCTTTGTGTGCTACATTTGTCAGGTGCATCTGATATGACATAAATTCTACCTGAAAATGGCAAATTTACTAATGAGATAGGTTTCTTCACTTAGGTTAGATAAGCAGGCAGTGTATAGAGAATGTTTTATGAGCAAATAATTTATAGTAATTAGAATATGCAGGTCTATTACAGTTAACAGATGGGATGTATTCCAAGTGAATAAAAAAATTAGGAACTCCATCAACAAGAGCGTTGTAATTAAAATCTTAGACTACCGGTGATTATCACTAGTTAGGAATGATCTTGACCTGGATTATGTCTACCATGAACTAAAAGATAATTGGCGGTATTATCGAGGTAATGATTAAGTTATACTAAAGTACCTTCTAATTAAGGTAAATAAGGAACCGACTTCATCTTTTCAACATAATGCTTACGGAATAATTAAAATGTGAAGTTTCCAATTGCAACTAAGCCTAGTTTCAGTCATCGTCAGATTATGTTAAGAACTGCAATTAAATATACTGATTCAGAAAGAAAATGGAATTGTATATTTATCACAAAATTTATTGTTTGAATTCTATACTAAACCTCAATAGTGAGATACGAGATCCATTTTAACTAAGGTACCGCAATTGATAGCCTTATAATTTGATAATGAAATACACAATGTTTATCAACTATGTATTGTCGCTAATGAAGATTTAATTTTAATTAGATATTATTCTTCATTTAATCTAAATAAAGGAGTATAGAGGATTATGTAAACAAGGAAAAACTGTACTCTAGCCTGTCAAATAGCAGTGGTTATCAACATGAAATGCGTACTTCGTTTTGCAATGAGACAACATGAATGAGGCTTTAGTATCAATTAAGTCTAATTAATTAAGTTGAACGTGAGAGAATAGACCTGTTAAGTGTTACATGTGACGAGAAAATTACATGAAATAAACCCAATTTATAAATGACTGGATTAAGTGACGTAAAGGTAAAATAATATCGAATAACATCCTTTATGGACTAACTGTCGGAAGGATATAATTTTCTTCAAGGTTAGTTTAACTGTTGTGCAACGGAATCAACATTCTATTCTAATGCGATTATGTGAATCATATGAATATATTTCGCTTTCAGCATAGTGGAATTTCCCACTTTGACATCCAGTAAAAAGAAACGAACCGGACGAAAGAATTTACAATTAGTTTTTCATCATGCCTATACACCAATATATATCAACAATGAAATGGCACTCATCGATTAGTTGCGTTACGTAATAACTACGCTAAGTCACAGTGATTATAGAATATTGAGTAATTTGAAAAAGGGGATTATAGTAATCAAATTAATTATTCGAATATTCAAGCACTTCCCATATTGCACAATATAAAAAAAAACAAAATATTTAGATAAAAAGTCAGTATTATAGTAGCTATTTAACATTCGAGAGACGGAGGTTAAGAATATGTAAAAAACAAAACTGAAATAAATTAGGAAATTGCTTGAATATTTTCGAAAGAAGGGATTTGTTCAAAGTTCAGCTAAAACTCACTGCTATACTGATGGTAGCGAGGGTAGTTGTACAGAGCTTTTTTGGATCCAAAAGTTAGGTTTGTGAACAGAGATTCCGATAGCGTGAGCAATATGCCGAAATCGTAAGCCATTTGCTAAATTTTATGGGATATGGTGGATAACCTTAAAAGCTTTATTCGAATCAACTTGGTGTTCTGTGTTCACCGATTGGGCGAGAATAGAACTCCTAATCACTTACCCGTTTTTCACCCAACCAAAATAGCATTCTACTATGCGATGACGGACTTGCCGTGTTGTACACCCTGTATAACTGGCTCCATAGGAACAGTTAGATAGTAAATACTCATGGGTGTGGTGAATCCTGGCAATGTTTTTATTGATTTTTCTTATCGGGAGATTGTAGAAAACGGCATCCAACGTGGTTGAAGTAAATATTTTCTGCACTGCACATCTTAACCTTTGAATTATAATTTCTTTGGTAGTTTTATTTAATAAACGTAATTTTAAGAATAACACCTTCTTCGAACCAGAAGTTACTTTCGGTTCTTTTTTCATTTAATTCCTGTTTTTGAATAATCTCGTTAGATATCTATTCCTACTAAGCAGGATACGAATATTACTCAATTCATCTACAATAGTGTCGTCAGAAAAAATTCTGACACAACTTGTCAGGATTTTTACCACGTTCCTTTTAAATCTGATTGGGATAGGATGGATGAATGTTACTGAATATAAATCATCCTTCTCATGTTCGTTTTCTAATGCTATGAAAGTATCATTTATTTACCGACATTAAGATGTTAAAAGGACTGATTGTCTTTAATCAGTTCATTTTCAAGCTTTTATTACAACTTAAGAAATGGACTGAATTGAAATTTAATATATAACTATTTAGGCAATCTTTAGTAAGGTGTTCTTATTTTTATTTCTCAATAACTTTGGGCTACTTTAAGTGCTTAACATATATTTTGCAGTTCTGTGGCTTTTACGAACGGCAGTAGTCTGATACAGTCCTCATCTCTATAATTTTTTGTGTCATGGTCAAAGCCAATAATTTTCACTCGGGATGCTTCATAATCAAAATGAATTGTTTAGAATTTTTACAAATACTAATACCACAAACGATTTCCCTATTGAAACATCCCCATTTTAACATTGAAATATACAGAATATTCTTACTGTCATCTGTTGACATTCAGTAGAATTAGGTTAGATAAAAAATGTCTAATTATTAAAATGATCAAATGCTGTCCGGGTGAATATTTTCTCTCTCGCCGAATGTACGATTTTAACCAATTCCAGCTCGCTTGTTAGTGATTGTTTGATTTGAATTTTGTACTGTAATTCATTTGAGTTTTTATTTTGTACGGCGTTGAATTCTTATATTGCTCCAATCAAAATATTAAGTGATATTTTTGATAATCTTAGTTACCTAACAGAATGGCCATAAGCATTATGAAAAGGAGGAAGGATAGAATAAATAAACAAACCGTGGTAATACAAAAGTATAGCAGCAAAAGAATAACAAGGTTTGCTATCATGCCTCGTATCAAAAGTGAATTAGTGAAGGGTAGTCTGAATGTAAGAACTTGTTTTAAAAAACACAAAGTCTGGAAATTCTGACGTCCAAGTTCATGACAAAACTTAAGTTTTTATGAATAGATTTCATAGAAAACCATCTAGTCAGCTTACATTGTGTTTAGCTGTATAGTACCCTAACTTTTGGGTTTTTGTAGGACTGAGATTCCAATTGATTTCCAAAATATTTAAGCACATGTTCCGCCATCTTGTTGTGTCAACCTGGATACTACCTATCAATTCTTCTACTCACCAGCACTTTAAGTGTTTAACATAGGGGGTGCGATTCGGTCAGTGAAAGTTTGCTAAAACAGTTTTCTTTTCTTGAGATTAATAAGTTGGCCGCAACACATATCTATTCAGCAAATCGATATTGCTTAGAAAAATACACATACAAACGTAGATTGAATCCAGTTTGAGGAAAGCATTGAAAAAGCCATTACTGGATAAACGACAAGAAAAAAACTCAGTTTAGTGAAAATTGGGTTTTACAAAACTCAGAACCACTACAAAGCTTCTTATTACATTTGACCATAAACTGATATAATTTCAAGGAAAAACATGGAAAACCAGTGAGCGTTGGACAGCTGCTTGATCCCAGATTATGATTACTTAATGCTGGCACTTAAGACCACTAATAGGGTTCAAATTAAGCGCCAGATATCAACTTTCCGTAATACATCAACTCATGGACAAAACTGACTTCCGTACGAACAGTTTCCAAATAACTCCCTACAATTCAATAACAATCGTTTCCCCTCTAGTAATTAGTTTTGAAACAGATTCCCGAATTCAGAGAAAAACTGTGATTGGTGATATTAGATGATGATCATGCGATAGCTAAAATTGAATGAAGTTAGTGATGTGAAACACTGAATTTTGACTTATTGATCTGTTATAAAAACCCTGTGCTTAATGAGAAATGTACAAGGTGAACGAGCAATACTGAGGATTTCAGACTGAAAGTGTAGTAACTTTCCAGAGTTCACTAGTTTTTAAGTTCTTCAACAAATTCCTTCATAAATGGAAACTGGCTTCAAGAGGTACAATGTCCTTAAACTTCATTTTAAAAAGTTTCTAGTATTTAGTATAATTTTATGAAAGGTCAACATCTTGAGGCATTTTTACAAGTGTTTAACGTATCGTGTTTTCAAGATACGAATATTAGAAAAATAAGTTTATTTTTGCGACAAGAGGCGTTCGTAATCAAATATGAGTCGTTATATATTATTATAAAAATGTTTATAATATGACATAATTAAAATCCTCACTAATATATGACATATATCCTTAGTGTTAGACTCTCAATGTCTTGTGCATTAGTGTTGTATTTTGGTTTTATAGTCTTCTCAGCCAAATACTGATGCAAAAGTTGTTTTACTTTATGTTATCGCTTAAACTTCAAAATAATGTCAGAAAATGTATATTTAAATCAATCTCTTCATTCAGTGATATGACATCGTTTTTTATTCCTCCTGAATCCAATTGCTGTACGTTCCGCTAATTTAAAAACAATATATGCACTTCAGCAGATGACCTTTCATTCATAAACAAAAAATGGATAGTGAAAACAAACTAAGCAAGCGAATCAAAACACCTACAGTTTAAGGTAGAATAACATCTGAAGAAAAAAAATAGTTTCACAGTAGGGGGTTTGTGGGGATCGTTAAGTACTCTTAAGATTTAAGCTAAGGTTATTGGGAAACAGCTGTTTCGATAAATAATGGGGATATTCAATATTGAGAATCCACGACCTTGAAGGGGATCGAACCTAGAACCCTCAAGTTCATGCGGAGTTCGACCATGTCAGCTGAAACAGTTACCCACAATCGACCAGAAGATGGTTGTTCAATATCACAAACTGATTGACGTTAGACATATAAAACACAAGATCCTTGTTCAGGGATTCAAAGATTAGGAGTTACCCGAAGGACTCTGGGTTCGATCCCCAGTGGAGTGGGTGTTGCTACTCAGAGGTCTCATATTAGAATGATACATCCGCCCGGTGCTTTTTCATTTTAAATGGTTGTCCAAATTAAGCTAGTTCGTTACCTAAATTAGAATATATTTTCTTCAGAATCCAAAATAATTCAAATGATATGTTTTGATTAAATTATTTCGAAAATTTAAAACATTGAATAGATTAAATTTATCAAGTTAATATTTTTTCATTCAACAATATAAGCTAAACGAAGAGACACTAACTTTAGAAGTCATTAGAAAATATACACATCTAGCAGTATTGTTGGAAATAAGCTACGAGTTTAATAAGAACAGAAAAGATTTTTAAAAATCATTAACTATTTAAAATAAATAAACAAACGAGGAATATCAAAACAAATACAAAATATTAATAAGCCCTATAATTATTAAGATCGTCTAACATATTTAGTTGCAACGAATGGCATTTTTGTAACGGTATATGGATAGAATTTTTGACGAATTTGTACAAAAAGTTGTCGATCATTTTCACAATATTCAGATTTTACATAAGCCATTGCAATATTCTTACTTAATGTAGGTGAAAAACAACCACTTGTAATGACACCTATTTCCAGTTGCAAAGATTGATCAAAGATTTTTGCACCATCTACGTAAGAAATAGAATAAATTATAATAAGGAAAATTTATCAACACTATTTAACGGATGCAACAAATTTTGTGTGTCACTGATAATTTAATAAGATTTCAAAATCGTAGTAGATGGACAGGAGTCCGAACTTGAGATTAATTTGTTGAAAAACAAATATCAACACATGGGATCTTAGTTTTAGTTTAACTGTAATCTTGATTGATTACTGACTTTGTTAGTGAACCATTCATCTAAATTATTTATTGGTTGACCTCGTCAACAAGATAGTTTTGAGCAAATTGGTGAGATTTGGTTTATACAATAAAATCAAAAATATTACACGTAATCACCCAATTGTGTTGTTGCGCAATCAGATATTTCAAGTATATTATTGTATGAACTTTGAGAAATAAGTTAATAGAGGACTGACTTTCTTTCTAGCTTCGTTTTCTGACTGGCCACTGAGTTAGGGACTTGGGAACAGATAAAAGTTAGCACCTTGGTTATTGTTCACTGATTTATGTATCAATTGGTAAATAGGTCACAGGTCCTACTGGCAATATATGTGAATTAATCGATAATCGGACGAGAGAGAGGATTAAAACAACTGATTATCTATCATTACGGCCCGATCACAAGGAACCTGAAACAACCCAAACAAGCAAAAAATCTGTTTTTTCCGACATAATTAAATGATTGAGCTATGTATGGATTAACGTGATAGCTCAATTGTTCAGGCTAGAATAAGACATCAATTAATTATTACACTTAAATTCTAGCTTCGCACAACCCGATGAACTAAAGATCTAGTGTTTTAAGATTCAAAAATACGATATTGGATAGAACTGATGATATTTCAAGCAATTTATTATTTTCTGTGTAGTAAATGGTCATTTCAATGGGTTCAAGTAAAATATTTTGAGTTTACGTAGAGTGAATTGAACTAATTCAATGTGAATATATAGCACGACAACTTATCTTAGGTGCTGATGATTAGTGAATAAAGGAAGACATATAGCTATTAACTTTCATGGATTGTCAGTGACATTAAAATACCGAATATTTTAATTCGATTTAATACGTACTTATCTGCTTACAGAAAAAATGGAGAATAATTAATAGTTCACAAAAATATTTCTTACTACTCATTAGAAAATTCAATGAAAGTTCGACATTTCATTCTACAACTTATTACTCAATACTTTTACAATTAAATCAATGTTTCTGAACAATCATATTACCTTCAAAATGTCTACGAAAAATATTAAACCTTAATGATTTTCATGAATCATAAAATTAAAGTGAAATTTCTTTTATTTTCTGAACTTACTTCTTGCTGGTGGACCTGATTCACAAATCAAACCGATTCGTTTATTTTTTAATGCACTTCTATTTTTCAATTGATCAGTTATAATTGAGCAACCAGGAAATTTCGGGTCTTTACACAAACGCCTTCGTTTTGCTGAAATATATTATTTTGTTAAAATCACGATTTTGATTACATTTATATGATTATATTTAGTAAAAGTATACTGTACTGACAACTTTGAATGAACTAATCAGAATAAGGATAGGGAATTCATCATAAGGTGAAAGCAAATAAAAAACAACAATTATAATTAACTTTTGACTTTTCGTATTACATGGATCATGGAATTTCTCGTTGTCGACTTAGAAGACTGAAATTATTCCAGTACTAATATTTTATTAAGTTTAATTGGTATATTTTATTAGCAATGTAGTTTCTTAGATGAGTACATACTAAAAACTCGACTAAAATGTTTTAACAACAACCCCAACTGTTGATATGTAAATGATTTAGAAAAGACAATTTACTTTTTTAAAAATGTGAATCTTGTAATCAAATCCTAACTAACATCTAAATGAGTAAGTAATTAGTGTTTTTATTTATTTATATGAACATATAAATATTGGTCAAGGGAGAACCAAACTATATATGCGCCACATAATAAAATTAGATTGTGAAGATATGGATAAAAAATGGTGGGTATAATCAAGAAAATAAAGAGAAATTAGTGTATGAGAATGAAATAATAATAAAAATAAAGTAATAATAACAAAGAGAGAAGTTGAAAAATACGACCAGAAAGGATTCTTTCAGTTAAATAAGTTACTCTCAATTATATGAAGAAAGTAAAAGAAATTTATACCGAGATCACCACTGTCTTCTATTCTGACTTAAGTCTGATAACGTCTCAAGCCACTGTGTTGCATTAGCCCAACCAGGAAGCCATGAAGGAACAACAGCTTCCTTTCATACCATGATAGAATGTCATAAAATGACCACCACCCCAGTTTTTTCAAACCAGTCCCAAAGTTGGCAAATAATCCACGATAGGGAACTCGTTGAAACGGCATTTATAGTACACGTCCAAGTCACTGAAGTCAGTGTTTCAATATGGTGTGATCGACTGAAATGTTGACACTGTGCCTGAACACATGTTGCCGAACATCCGTATTACTAATATGGTGTTGGCACTAAATGTTGGCAATATTTTGAAAACAACGATGATCGGACACAGAGAACCGTCTAACATCCTCAACTCGGAGGCCAGGTTTCGCAAGCATAGAGCAAAACTGCTCTTACCGATGCGTTGTAGATTCAAACTTTTACAGCCAGACTAACATCACGAAGGAGCCGAAGGTGGTTCAGATTGTCATAAGTCGCTCCGGTTTTCAAGATACGTGGATTGATCTCATCACTGACGCTACCACCAGCACTCACGCATCTGCCCAAGTGCACGAACTTCCTGACCACTTTTACCCGCTCACTATCAAGAGTGAGTACAGGTTCATGGTCCTTTCAGTCTTGTAAACGTACTATACACTTAGAAAGTGTAAATCACATTCCATACCTACGGACACTAATTGCCGATTAATTAAGTGAGGATTGAATGGATTGAGTATGATTGCACAGTAAAACGATATCACCCGCATACTCAAGTCGAAAAGTACTTCTTCAGGTAACAGATCCACATCATCATGCCCTACATCCATCAGAGCTGTTTCCAGAATGTCATCGATGGCAAAGTTGAAAGGGAATGGTGATATTGTGCAACCCTGCCTAACCTCACTGTTCGAACGAAACAATTGGAGACAGGTGGTTGTACGCCCTTACTCTACCTGAGATGTTTGTATGTAGGTCTTTTAAGATATTAACAAACTTCCCAGGCACATTCTTCTTCAATAGACGATCCCAGAGCACAGTCCTGTTCAACAATTTGAAGGCAGCCTTGATGTCAAGAAACACAACGATTGTTGGCCTACAAAAAGTATGGCGGTGTGTTGATATTTGGCGGATGGTGAGTAGAACTTCCATGGCAGAGGCTATATACGCGTGGCCATGTGAGAGCGTCTCGAGAGGGAGAGCTAACTCTCCCCACTCTCAGCCGTACCAGGGCGTTTGGGGGCATGCAAGTAATGACCGGGCCCAACGTTGCTTAACTGTGGTGATCGAACGAGAACCGGTGCTCTCAACGTGGTATGGTCGCCGGCTGGCATTTCATTAACTTCACAGATTTTTTCACATCCGACTTCTTTCTGCCAGCAACTCGGGTGAGTTGAAAGAGCTACCGATAGTCATCAGATGCGGCTGTCGCTTCCAGATCGTTAGCACACTCGACCACCGGGTTTCTAAGTCCCTTCGCAAACTTGGCACAATTTCATTACGTAACGATCTTCGTTTATGGTCAAACTCAAGGTTGGTCGGAGCAAATCGATATACTTCAACAGATTGTAATAAGCCTTTAGTAACCCAGTGCTTACAAGCGAGACGTCTTGTGAAGCCGCAGGCGACCTTACGCGTCATTTTCATGGCTTCAACCAATTGCAACCAATGCTCATTTATACTTTTCGGTAGGTTGACAGTTAACTTTGAACCTAGCTCGGTTTGATATTTAGTTGCAACAGAATCTGCATCAATCTATTTAGGGCGAATATTTCGGACACAGTAAAAAGTAAGATAAGATTATCAAAAACAAGGGCATGATCATAGTCCACATAAGTACTCCGAAAGGAGAGACAATATTGCACACAATCACGCCAGCGGTAGTCAATCGCAATATGATCGATCTGAACCCAGGCTTGAGATTCAGAGAGAGGACGCCAGATAGTACATCAGATATGGTTGTGACGATAGTTAGTGCTAGCCAGAAATAGGCTATAATCTGGGAAAAGTATCAGCAGACGGTTACAAGTATCCGACAAGCGACTAACAAGTCTTCATTGGCTACTCTACCGACCCTCCATTGTGCCTAGACGCCCAACATGGGCAACCAAGTTTCCGACTGGTACTATAATATCTGTCGCACGCACTTTCTGCAGAAGAATAATCAAATGGTGATGGAACCCGTTCTTTATTGCAACCGGGCTGCAATTTGTCGGAGCGCAAGCAGAAATGATAAAGACATCGTTTCTCACGCCGATTTCTTCACTTTTTGATGGAACTTTCTCACCTAACAGTACATAATTGACTGTTAAAGGAGATCCAAGCTACTTGTACCACCTAAGCTCTAGCGCTTAATGAGACACCAACACTAGCGAAACCAGGCGAATATATCACAGTGTCTCTGGACGGACGCACGCGAAACAAGCTTTTCGAAGCGACAGATGAAGAGCGAATTTATAGTACTTCACTAGTCTTGAAAACGGATCTCGGACAGACAGCATTAATCGATGTTGAGACTTTTTAAAGACATGACTAACCCTATATGTTGTCCGATTTGTATTAGTATGCAAAAGCTGAAGGATGCCAGTTTGAATGGCATACATGGTCTCAGAAAGGTTGGTTCAGAATTCGTATTTAGTGGAAGCATTCAAATTTCGACCAGCCAGTGACTTGATATCGTTTAAATAGGACAGGATTTCCATCATAGGCAAGTTTCTGTATGAAGTTAAGAATCAAAGAATATACAAAGTGAAAATAAAGGAATAGACAAGTGACTCAATGTAAAGACGAATATTAAAACGTAGTCTTAATTATGATTTACGAGAATGAGAATTAAAATGCGAATAGTTCTTTTTAGTTTGTTATCATTTAGTTTGCGTGTCGGCTGAGATACTGCCCGGGTGCCCAAACCGAAGCAGGTGGTCATCTTAGGGGGCCACACCCCGAGCATTCGACCTGAGGGTCTGATCCACAAGGCAGTGGAGCATCGTAAGGAGATGCAGTCCCATGGAAGCCGGTGACCAACAATTGGTTCATACGCCATTTGTTCCCGCAGGATACTGGAGCCCATGTGCACCATTGGTTTGGAATCCGGTTAAAGTGCCGGACATTCGCTTTTCGTCCTCTCATTTTCGTAAACAACACCCCCGCCACGAGAAGGCAGTGAGTAGGACTTCCCTGGCAGAGGCTATATACGCGTGGCCGTGTGAGAGTATTTCGAGAGGGAGAGCGGACTCTCCCCACTCTCGGCCGTACCAGGACATTTGGAGGCATATATATATATATATATATATATATATAGGTGACACAAGCATTTTAACATACAGAATTATATATTTGGAATATCAATGATTTTAAACTTACAAATAAGCCATGAAAGAGAAGCTTCAACTGGAGTTGTTTCTTCCGATATGTCGCTTCCATATAAACACAAACCAGCTTCCAATCTCAAGGTATCACGAGCAGCTAACCCAATAGGTTTTACAGAAGGGTTTTTTACCAGAACCTCAGCAATCGGGATTGCTATTTCTGGTGGGATACTGATTTCGTAACCATCTTCACCTGTGTATCCGCAACGTGTTAAACGAATATCACCATCAGGAGTATTCAGACCGTAGAATGAATCAATGAGCATACTTTCCATAAAAAAAAGATTCTCAAAGTTTCTTATACTAGTAGATGAGATACCTGCACGGATAACTGAATATGCATCTGGTCCTATGGAAAATTAAACGGGTATTTGTCAAAGAAAAATAAGAGGTAAAATCTAGAATTACTCGACTAATTTCAGAAATTCAATTAAAAAAACCAACCAACATTCATAATCCACATAGAACAACCATTGGGGATCTACGGAAGTTCGAGTCGTTTAACTAAAAAGTAGACTTCAGTTATATTTAAGCTATCAACAACAATTACTGGAAATAACAACTCACTTGGCACACTAAATAGCTTCTGTAAAGCTGTCATTTTCCGAAGTGTATTAACATCGAAAATCGGTTTAGTTGGGTCGCAGGTTGTACATAATTTTTGCAAATGTACATCTTATTTGGTTTAACCTATAAACCAGTTACTAATGTGTGTTAAATAGAACCACACAATATACAATAAATCCCAAAAATTTTGGTCGTTTTTAATGGTTTTAGATGAGACCGAAAACTTGAAACTAGTTATTTCGCTGATTAAAATTAACGTGGCATTTTTTAAAAGAAAAATCTAAAAGCATTGTCAATGTTTGAGAAAAATATCCAAATTAACACTATATTACAAATCCCGGCAAGTTGATTGAAGTATGTAAAAAAAAATAGAAGCGAGAGTTCTGTAATGCAGGTCTCCAGTCGACAAGCATGGAGGATTTATGCCTGTTTACCAGGTCAATATTGTTCTACTAAGTAAAATCCAGGTCCTAAGGTGCACCACATAGATACCGATTAGTAAAAGGGAAATTTACAAAAGTTACTAGGTCGCGATCATAAAACAAGTGAACGAGTTAGCTTAAGTATTATTTGATGTAAGCTACCCTTACTTTGCGAAAATTGTACATCCGTGCTAAAAAAAAAACGCTCTACGCAACTTGCTTCAAAACTATTTTAATTCAAGAGGAAATATTTCTCCAATGAACCATGTAAGTCTCTTTAGATTAAGCTTCACAGGATTGATACTGACTACACAAGACAATTTACCTTGCAGTGCTAAGAGAGAATGGTTTAGAACTTTAATGTTTATTTCTTTACCGTCATTTACGTCTTTAGTCATCATTTTCTGGAAAAAAACAAATCAATCTAATTATTCACTTACTGTAACATGATTTTTAATCTTTGATGAACATGCTGCATTTGAAACGACATACAAATAAGGTTCTTTGCATTTTAATATAATAGTATCATCTAGTATTCCGCCGCTACTTAACAAAAATACAGAGAGAGTTCCAGATGAAATAGGTAATCCCTCAATATCAGCACAAGTGAGGGATTCTAAGAAGCTAACTCTGTCCTTTCCAGAAACTTGCATCTGTTGTAGATAAATGTAAACAGGTTAACTTGCTTGCAACATATGGGAAACATCAAAAAGACCGCAATGTTGACGCACGAATTGATGACTATCAATGATGCTTTGGTCTGAGTAGTGTAATGGCATAAGAAAATTGCAGAAATCAATCATTTTGGCTTTATGTGAAATATGAAAATCATAAAGGGGCGTTCGTTTCGAGGCTCCATTACTAAATGATCGCAAGGCAGTAATGCATGACCGGCAAACTAGAAGTCTCATTTCAAAAAGTTGCCAACGATTCCCGAGGCCCAACACTTCAAATGTTTCAAGTGGTTGTGGACGGAATAGAAGAAGCTTTCGCTTAACAAGCTTCCGTATATAGTGGCAGGGATCAGCAATACCTCCAGACAGGAACCTAGGTATAAGATCTATGAAAAATTAGAAAAAAAAGAAATTGATAACTCATACCCAGACAACCTAAAAAGGGGAAATAATGGGGGGAAAGGGGAAATAAAGGGGTAAATGCTATGGTAGCGAAGGAGGAAATAAAGGGGAAAACGCATCAGAATGTCACCTTTTTCGCCTGTCCGGGGGAAATAATGCGGAATTTCCCCTTTTTCGCCTTTTTGTCGACAAATTACCCACTTATCGCCTAAATATCCGCTGAATTGTCGCATTTTCGCCTATATATCCGCTGACTTGTCGCATTTTTGCCTAAATATCCGCCGAATTGTCGCATTATAATAAGATGTTATCCGTAATCCTTAAGAATAGGTCAACTTTCCTCTTTAACGATTCCTGGGAAGTCGCTTGGACTAGCTCAGTCGAAAGTGAATTCCGGCATTTGACAACTCTTAAGGAGTAGAAGTTGTGCCTACAGTCCGTTCTTCTGTGTTGTATCTCCAATTTCTGAGTGTTACCTCTAAGTTTTGTGTTAGGACTAAGCTTAAGTAGACGTTTAAGGAGATGTCCAGAAGTGTTAAGGATACTGTAAGCCATCAGAAGGTTACCTCTAAGACGCTTATACTCTAATGGGTAAAGGTTAAGTGATTGGAGGCGATCTTTTTAAGGTCTGAATTTGATTACCCGAACTGATTTCGTGGTTCGCCGTTGGATACGATTCAGAGTGTTCTTATCCTTTTGGAGTGAGGGAGAAAATACTGTGTTTCCGAACTCTAAATGGAGACGAATAAAACTGTCGAATATTATGTGGAAAGTTCTTCCGTTAAACTGGCCAAAAATTCGCTTCAGTGTTACCAGTGCAAGGTTAGCTCGGAAGGCATTTTGTCACAGTGAGCGTAAGACTTTAAATCGTAGGGCACCAGGGCTCCTAAATCTTTTTCGACTCGGTATACTACTAGAAAGGAATCTCCTGAGTTGTAACTATAGTCTGCGACATGTCGCAGATGGACTACTTTACACTTTGAAGTGTTAAAGGTATGTCCGTTATCGTCTGCCCAACTTTGAAATCGAGTCAGATCCTCCTGGAGTGCCTTTATATCGTCTCGGTTATGTATCTCTCGCCAAAGTTTCACGTCATCAGCAAAAAGTAATGTCTGACGACACCTGTTGTGGAAGATCATTTATATAAATCGAGAAGAGAAGAGGTCTTAGTACTGAGCCCTAGGGGACCCCACTGGAACATGCCTTAGCCCGAGATGAAGTGAAGTTAACCTGATATTAAAATGTCAGTTTTTTAAATATGAAATGAGCCAATCTATTATAGGGGTTGGATACCTTATCGTTAAGACATATATGGTTGACCCTATCAAAAGCTTTTGAGAAATCAAGGTAAATGATATCAAACTTCCCCTTGCGACCGGGGATGCTTGTCCGTCTGTCCACTGCAGTCAACAGGTTGGTCATACAAGAGTAATCCTTCCTGAAACCATGCTGTTGGGGTAAGAATAAATTTAAGGACAGTAAATAGTCATGTATACCATCGTATATCAGGGACTCTGTGATTTTTGAATGCATAGAGAGAAGAGCCACCTGTCGGTAACTTAAGGTTCTCTGCATCGACCTCCTTTGAAAATTGGTGTGCTGTGAGCCAGCTTCCAATTTTCCGGTAGTTTGCCTCGGCGAGAGTAACAACATTACGCTAAGCGGCGTTGCCAGGATTGAGACTGCATCCCTCAGTATAGCAGAATGGACAATATCTGGGCCAGGAGAAATGTCTTTTCTTAGGTGCTGTACTTTCCGGAACACCAAGTCAGCGCTCAGGTTCACCACGAAAAGTCCTGTGTAGATGTAAAAGAAGCTTTCATCATTATAGTTGATTTAGGTCGGTTGAAATGTCCGAGAGCATTGTTCAGCAAGAAGGTTAGCGGCGTCGCCGTCGTCGTTGGTCGGGCCATTAGGAGCTAGCAGTTGAGAAACTGCAGTTTTGACTTGACGAGGAGAGGCTGCATAACGGAATAAGATTTTTGGATTGCAGACAAATTTATCCATTAGCTTTATCTGGTACTGAAGCTTGTCTACTCTTATAGCTTTCGCGCATATACTCCTTATACGTTTGTATTGCCTGTGCGCTCCATTATTGCCAGTTCATTTCTATTCTGCCCAACAGTTTTCTTTTGAGGCCTAGCAGGCGAGGAGTGTGGTTCTTGATGATTGTAGGTTGCTTGGAGCTTTTGGGGACCGTTTGAGGAACTGACTGCTTTGTAGCATATGACAGCATATGCAGTAAGAAGTCCCAATGAGTATCCACATCGAGATGAGGGTGAACATTCCAAACCACCTGTTGTAGGTAGTCCTGTAGAGCTGACACATTCAACCGTTTGAAATTCCAGCCCCTGTTGTTGATGAAATATCTTAGCTCATTTTTGCTGACAAAACTGAAAGCTACAACGGCGTGGTCGCTTTTCCCCAGTGAAGCCAGTATTGAAAGGTTGTCAACTAGAAATTCTTCGTTTGTAAATACACAGTCTAAGCGCGACGGTATATGAATGTTTCTACAACGACTTGCCGACTTCACATTTTCGTATAATCCCAAATACTTAATGAGGTTGAAGAACTGATCTTCAGTAGAGTTTTCACCTACAATGTACGTATGTTCCACGAAGTTGATTCTATGGAGATTGAAATCCCCTAGAATCAGAGACGCATAGAGCGGGATAGTCCTTCCAGCAAACGATTGTCATACTCGATGTCGGTAGTGGGCTTCCAATATATGACTCTGACTAGGCACCTCGAAGTAGTAGACAATCTTACAGAGCACTAGGTGAATTCCTCATGATTATTAAACTCGAGGTTTGAACTTGGTGTACCTCCAGACAAGATCGTATGTATACGGCTAATCCACGCCCAATTCCTGTTTTTCTGTCGTTGAGAAATAAAGACATCCCAGGTATTGTTAGCTCCCGGTCCATAAACTGAGTGAATATCCAAGGTTCCGATATTCCTATCAGATGAACATTATTAGCGTTGCTAAGTCCACGTAGCTCATCCATTTTGTTTAGTATACTCGCGGCGTTCATGTATAAGCAGTTTATGCTTTCAATTTGAAACGCGTGAGCTTCTTCCTGTTTGTCTGTATGAGCCTTACGTGAATGGAGGAAGCTTACCTATATAGGGTTTGTCGAGTTGGTAGGCCCTTCAGACCTAATACCTTATCAACGACGTACAAGAATACGCGAAGTGACAGGAACATAAGGCCGTGCTAATACACATAACCCACTAGAGACAACTTGAAATACTGTTAAGAGTGTAAAATAAATCTATTATGAACATAATATGAATCCACATATGACAGAACACTCTGTGGATCTAAATGAGTCTGCACGTCGAAAACTTCAAATAAGAAGTGATTTTCAATTGATAACAAAATCATAACGACATTTGCGATTCTAATCAAAGCTTTTTGTGTTGTAATGTACTTGTATATGGATCGTTTGATGATAAGCAGACAACAGAACCTTGTCAAGTAGTGTTTCTAAAGGTATTACACAAGATGACCTGATTGGACAAGAACTCATATCACAGAGAATTCCTAAGACAACAAGAACCTCCCCAGACCTAGAAAAGAATGATGGACAGACACCAAATATGTGAAAGTCAACACAAATTTTCCATATCTCTTCCAGAAATAGTGAACGGATTGCTCTCTCTTTTATCATGTACCCACCTCTAACCTGTTTAAGTATCAAGACTGACGATGAGCACAAGCCTAATCAACATTTGAATAAGTAGACTAATAATAATTAATAAATTACTGGATGCAACACTAATCCATCAAGGCCTAGAATTATTAACATGCATGGTAATGAAGTACTCTTCACCCCGGGATCACAATAGTAACAGCTCATAGGACTAAACCGCTTCACGATCTGACGTTCCTATCCACCCAAAAATGTGGCACTCAGGCATAAAAACATAAAGAAAACTCCTAGCAACATACAGCTTATCCTTCTACAGCTAAAATTGATACAAATGGCTGTAACCCAAGCTACGAGCTTTACATTCAAGGAATGTAAGGTAAGATGTCGATTTTGACGTTTATTTTGACTAATATTAATAATAATATATTTCTGCCAGCGCAGGTACAGACCATTTTTTCAGTCATGATCTATAAGACACAATATTTGTTTGCTTACAGTATGCTCCACAAGTAGGAATGTTAAATAAATTAAATCAATAATATGTCTAAACTTGCATTGATTGTGAAGGAGCCGACCACGAGCATCTAACTAAATATCAGAGTATTATTGCTCAAGTGCGTGTAGTGGCATTGGGCCCTAACTACACAATCCTCAAAGCTGAACATGGGACAATCGGGAAATAAATACTCAGCATTTAACGCGGGAAAAAACTCAAGAGTGAGGAAGGCAGGAACAATGAGTTGAATGAATTCGAGTTGATCGGCCTTGCAGGCGTGGTCCCTGTTGAGTGTTACTTTATATCATTTATTCATATTAAATATATTATTCTATCTCTAGCCCAAGCTTGCTCTTCATCATATATCGGTGATTGCTACGATGCATTGTGTTGGTGTATACAATGATGTGACTTCCACGTAAGATCTTAAAGATTAGGTAGTTACACCACGACGAATCTACAATTTTAGTATTAGACCTATTATTAGAGCAGTATTAATATCGAAGAGAGCCATAATTCTCCACGTTCACTACTAGTCTGGTTTCTTATGTTGGTAGAACTAGGGGCACCCACCGGCACGAAATTGGTGAGCCCTATTTTAAACACAGATTTAATTTCGGTTTTGCTTGCTATTATATAATTGTTTCTTTGTCTAGACCTAAAAATAAACCTCATAATTATGTTAGACATAAACTTCGCACATATATTTATAAACATTGCCTTTTT